TAAATTGATCTTTCCTTTTCCTCCTGATGTTCACTGCTGAATATAAAATCCTGCAAGGCTTCTGACTCTTGGGAGATAAATTTGCTATATCTTACAAAGAGCTTTTCTAGTTCTGGAAATTCTCCTGCAACATTCAGTGAGTTGACAAGCCCATCCAGATGAGGAAACTGACTGGACAGCCATCAAAAACAATCAAACAGCAGGATTCTCAAACAGAAAAACAGTTTTTCCTGCCCACTAATCTTCTTTCTACAGACTGTATTACAATAGATCTGTCAAAACCTGGTGCTACATGATCTTTAATTACTTAAAACTATTCACTGTACTCAATGCTAAACCACTCTAAACCTTAAGGCTGGAAAGTAATTGAACTACAAGATTACAATCTAATTGCCACTAGCCCTCAAAAAACAGAATTCTGGAGCTCTTTACGCATACTCCTTGTACTCAGCCCCAGCAAAGGGCAGGATGCCAAGCTAGACAGACCAGGAGCATGATCCTGTCTGCCAAATCCTCACCTTCTCTGTCTGGCTCAGCAGGAAGTGATGAAAGTGTGGATCACTGTCCTTCGCGGGCTACAAAGAGAGTAAGTACAGCCTCAGAAGCATTCCCAGAAAGTCACTGAGCAACAACAGCACAATTCCCTTGCTCTCCCAAGCTGCATGAGAACAATAGCTTAAGGTGGAAAATATAAAATGTATCAACTGTCTGAAGCAGCCTGTTTCAATTAAGCAGTTTACACTCTGTTTCATTCTCAAAACCCAAGCCATTCAAACCAAATTCCTCATTTTTGGACACCTGTAGGAAAATCAGAGAAGTATATGAGCAAGAGTAATATGGGAGGAAGAAAATTCATATCCCGCTTCTTCCCCTCCCAGGGGAATGAAAACATTTATTTTCCAGCTTTCAAGGAACTCCTTAGAACAGCAGTCTGGGAACTGGCTGGAGGTTACAAACAGCAATGCCACATGCCAGGCAAAGCCTACTAACAGCAACGAGGAGTGCAGGCCCAGGTACTTTGCCTCTCCAGTGAGCATCGGATACAGTAGCCTGGAGTCAGGCTGCTCTTACTCTGTTTTGCTGATCACTTATTTATGCGCAAAACTGACAGTTTTTCAAATGAAACCACTCCATATGAGAGTACCAAGTCAGGGAGACACTATCTACATTACCGCCAATTTTGGGAATTCAGTCCAAGAAATAGTTTTGAAACAAGAAGTGCAAAAATGAGTACAGCAAGTTAAGTGTGAATCCCAGCATACTTCTGAACTGCCTGGGATATTGTCCAGCTACGTTCTGTGCAGAATGGTCTGACGCAAGGAAGATAAGATCTTGCTGTTTTACAGCCACACACAAGGCTCTGAGAACCAAACTTGGTTCCTAGATCTCCTGTGTCGTAAAGCTTCTCACCTCACTGACACTTGGTGGCCATTTAAATCCAGCTACTGTTCCAGTCATCACTCTCTTCACTGTACTTGATTCTGGAATTGTGAGGTCCTGAGGAGACAGAAGGAGGATTAGAAAGAGATTACAACCTGGCTCAGGGGCTGGCTACAGCACGTTGATCATACGAGCACACATACAGAGTTCTGAAAGCACTACCAACGCCTTCCATTTCACGGGCCTTCCCATAAGCGTTCAGTGTATTATCAACACAGGTGAGGTGAGGAAAATACCAACTGCCAATGAAGGAATTCAACACAGTTATGGCTTCTGGAGAGTCCATTCTTCATACCTAAGAGGAATCATTGCACTTGTGCGCTCATGCAATGAGCAGAGAAGCAAACGAACACACTTGATCCAGTATTTTCCTCTGGTGGAATGCAAAAAGCTTAACAAATGGGTGAAGAACATCATTACAAGTAGAAGTCTAAACTCTTCTAGTCCTGCCCTGTCACAAAAGAATAGCCTACCTGTTATCAGGAGAACCTTCAAAGTAAAAGGCCGACAGCCACATGTGCTTAAGTCTGCAGAATCTGTGAAACAAACTGTATGTGGGCCGTTCCATCCACTCAACAGGCCCTGGTTTGTAGTTCATGATAGTACTTAACACACTGAGGCTTTCACTGTTGAGCAGATTAAATTTTATCTTTTATTTCCCCAAGACATACAGGTTGAAATCGGTCACAGACATGCGCTATAGACACACAGGTCTTTATGTTACATGAAGAGAATGCGCGGGACTCCTGCACAGTATGTGCTGTCTTCCTGAAATGAGGGTGCAGAAATGGAATCCCATTATCTCCCCTCCAAAATTACTTCCTGAAAATGCAAAATATACCTTAATGTCCACACAGAAGCACAAGAGAAGAGCACTGTTTGTAAAAAAAGGTCAGAGCAAAACTCCTGGAGGTAATCCGGATCGATGCGACTGTCCAAGTGTTAGCAAGGACAACGTAGACATCAGACTACAAACTTAAAAGTGTCTAGGCAGAGTCCTGCATACTAAAATTCTCTTAGACAGCACACTGCTGTTTCAGTTGGTAAAGCAGTTGAAAGCCTTGATGCCTAAGAATTTCTGTTGGTCCTTTGAAAATATTCATATAAGCTTAAAAATAAGAGTATGTGGATGATCATCTATGGCTACAGAGTCTTTCTAGATAGAGCACACCTGGGCAACAATTGGATTCTTGAATTTTATGCATCCTTATTGCTTGGAAAGCCAGAATTTGGACTGTGACAGGGAAAAAAAAAAAAACAAAAACAAACAAATCCCAGCACTGTATTAATTCAGGACAATGACATTAATGTTTTCTACCCTAAGGGTAAAGAACGTGGGGAACTTATGAGAACCAGGCAAGAAGATAAGATTTTAAAATTGTCATAGGTTGAAAAGCAGTATTAAGGCAGCATTGTTATATTTTCATGGCAATTTCTTTAATTGTCACTTCCCAGAAGCTATAAGGCTTACTTTCCTACCTTACCCTGCTTATTTTCCCTGTCTGTGGCCAGGCACTTATCACACAGCTGGCCACCCCTTTGTGGTAAGTTTAAAACCTCTCCACTGCCATGTGCCAGTAAAATAATGCCTACTACCACAACTCACTCAAAGCACTCCGAAGGCCTGAGGTAGCTAACACAGTAAAACCTAGGCATACAATGTGTCAGCACAACCAGAATTCTCCCAGCCATTAGTTTTGATGGCTTTTGGAATGAAGCTAGCTCAAAGACACAGCAGCACTATGCAAGTGAAAAAAAAGGCCCTGTGGCTTATAGTAACAGAATTATGTGGAGACACAACATGCTTATAGGAAGACACTTAGAAAAGTTAAAGTTATGTCGCCAGTGAAGCATTTTTCTGGATCAGTCAAGTCACAAGTTCAGTAATTATTAGTCAGAATTCACATATATGCATCCATTCCTCCTTTCCTCCAACTCCCCTCAGAAGTAGAAACTGATGGGCTCTGTTGTGCAGCCTGATTTCACAGACGCTGTCTCTAAAAAAGAGCCAGTATTTCCTTCAACTCCTTAGGAGTTGGACTAGATGATCCTTATGTATCCCTTCCAAATCAGGATATACTGTGACTCTATTCTATGATTCCTTCACAGCTAATATCTGAGATGATCAGCTTCATTTTATCACATCAAGAAAGAGTTTGCTGTTCAATCAGCAAAGGCCAATCCATTCATAGTTCTGGGGAGCCAAGACCACCATCTTGACTTGCATCCTGACGTGCACCGAAAGCAAAGACTGTGAAGCACAATGTGATCCCTCTGAAGCACAGGTGAGCAAGCAGGCTGCTGCATGGTGTATCAGCTGAAGTCTCCCAGTCATCTTCAGGTGTAGTCTCTGATGGAGTATATGCCTCGTAATAATCCACCAAAATAAATATCCATTTGGAAAAGGAAGATCTAGACCATAACCACGAGTTCCACAAAAAAAAAAAAAAAGGCTAGAACTCTAGATGAGGGTAGACAAAAGGTATTGGTTGCTATCACTGTTGGTACAACATCCAGAAGTATCAGGGAAGTAATGGGGATAAAATAATAATGCTCCAAGGTCAGACCTTTATAATGGAGGATGGAAACATACCCTGTAGCATAGAAGCTGAAATGAATACATTTAATTCTTCTGGTGGATTTCCCAGGCTACAAGTTTCTTCAAGCTCTACCCCCTAAGAATACTTCAGTCTCTGTAAGTCCTGAGGGTGAAATGGACCGACTACTAATCACCTGATCATAGGAAGCAGATGAGATGGGAGAAGTCAAGAATGAGATGAAGACCAATATCTCTTCACTAATCCTTACCACACAAACTGAACTCAAAGGATGGCAAGATGAAAAGTCTCATGATAAAGCTTTCAAGGCCCTCTCAAAGAGCCACTCACAGTAACTAATGGGTAAAAATCACAGGAAGAATCAACAATGTGCTTGCCAAAGGTATCAGGCAGCCAAATGGTCTAGGAGGAGCAATACGGAACAGCTTAAAAAAAAAAAGGGATACTGAACTGACTCTTCCTGCTGGCCTGTTAGTCAAGGTGCCAGTCAGCCCTCAAGTCCAGCTGCCAAGTCCACGGGCACTGGCGGACATGCACAACACAAACCTTCTCATCCTTGGGCGGACGCCCCCGCTTTCGGGGGCTCTGATCCTGGGCTCTTTTCAAGGGTGACTTTGATCCTCTCTCTGATGAGACAGAAGAGACCCTCTTTTTTCCTTCCCCTGTGCCCTTCTTCACCTTTCCTTCAGACAAACTGGCCTTGCGTTTCTCTTCACCAGCGGATTGCTTGCCTCTTTCTTCACTGGAATTACGCCGATTCTTCTCTTCAGTGGAGTTATGGGAAGACGCCTGAGAGATTACAGAATAGAAGATGGTAAGGAAAGAAGAGAAGAGATGGAATGATTTGCATGCAAAACCAAGGATGTGAAGGACCCTGTGCTGATTACTATCAAGCAAAACAACAGCACAGTAACTTGAAAACTAGATCTCTCTTAGTCCTTTGGAATCAGTGAGTGAAGTTCCTGGTTAGTTCTCCTGCAAAACCACACCAGTTTAAGCAAGCATGTAACAGAACAGGCCACCTGTAGACTTATTGGCAGTGTGCGCACTTCCAACATACTAAAAACAAGATTAGTAGATATCAAATTCTATTCCAAGATTTAAGACTGATTCACCACAAGCAAATCAATTAGCCACTTCAGTTTCTCCAGCAGTTTAACAAAACATTTTTCCCCACCAAACAAGATTAAATGGGGAAGAAGAGAGGATAAGAAATAAACCCGAAAACCAAAGGAAGGAAAACAAAACCACTCTCAACTTGCCAGAGGCGACAAACTCCTTTCACATAAAAACGCATCTAACCATTGTTCATGCCAAGACCTACTTTGATGCATACAGTGAAAAAGAACCCACTCACCTGGTCCTTGCCTTTGGTTTTTCTAAGAAACTCCTCTACAGCATCCACAGCTTGCTGGAAGCGCTTACCCTTGTTAATCTTGATCATTTCCTCTTTGTGAGCGTGATAAGGCTTCAGCTGTTCCACTTTGATCCAAGCACTTGAAACAAAAAAAGAAGTTAGTTATATTCTCCAAACAGCAGCTTTCACAATCATCCCACTTTCAGAAACACATAGATACACTTTCTTTCCCCAGAACCACTGATGACTGCAGCCCAAACTCGCTTGCTATCTTACAACCTCAGAGGTTGCTATTTCTGCATTCACTGAGAACTTTCTTCTGGCACTTTAACTTTGTTTCTTTTTAAGTTTTATCTCCTCTCATTCTAGCCATGCCCCACTCTAAACATCAGTCATATTCTCTATCTGCAAGACAACTTTTGGATGTGATCACAGGCCGTGTTTAGAACAATGGCAGCCCAGTGACTGCTCTTGTTTCACCAGGAGGAACACCCACATTCCCACACCTCCATGTGAAGTAGTCATGAATAACATGAATCTGCTTCAGGGGTTGTTGAAAGCAAAGTCTACATAACAATTCTCAGCCATCAATCCCTGGCTAAAATATACTGTGCATGAAAGTGTCTAAAAAAGTGTAGGAAAAAATCCCTCAAAATTCTGCATCTCACAATAGGGCTGACCACAAACAAAATGAGTTGCAAAAGCCACATCTCATCGCTGAACATATCTCTGATGTACCCTGATACTCTGCATGAAAGCAACGTTCTTGTTTTTGAGGAAAAAGAACTGTTTTCTTCACTGTTGATATTTTAAGATAAACTGACTGGTACGGTAGCAGAGTATTAACCTGACTGCAGTCCTGTGAGGAAAATCAAATTATTTCCCTGTTTCCACTCCTGCTAAATACAAATTCTTGACATTTACCAAATGGTTGTCAAGTACAGGGTGACAACTCCACTTTCCTTTAGGCAAACAAGCACTTCGACCACTCTTTCACTTCAGCTTAGGGGAATGTCTTTGCTTCCCTTGATGCCTGAATCCCTTATGACTTTCAGAGATTAAATCAACCTTTCTCCCTCTCCAGATTCAAGCCCAGGCTTATCAGCCACACTGTTACAAAGCTATTTCCATCCTACTGAAAACAGAACTGTTTTAAGTTTTAAAAACCTTTTCCTGAGCTAGGATGGCCATCGCAGCTTCTTAGCACACAGCAAAAATGGGGCAATCAGATTTTCTCTCATCCCCAGACATCCCTATGTTACATTGACTAGCCACGATTACAGGTTTTAAGTATTCTCCAGTGCAGTCCAGCTCCTGCTAGAAGTGAAGTGATTTAATAGTTGCTGTTTCAGACACTGTAAGCACCATGTCATACAGTTAAAGCAAACATGAAGGTGAAAATGGTAAATAATAATAACAATAATATTTTGCTGGATCTTGCATTAGCCACCGTTTGTAGTCAGGAATCAACTTATTTAAAGTAAACAAAATTTTTGGGTCTCATTTGCAGAGAGGAGACCTCCTACTAGAACTGACTGGAAAATGTCAGCACTCTTTCCACAGAACCCAGTGTTCCTGCACGCAAAGCTGAATCCTTTCACTCACTTTTACATCGTCTTCATAAGAACTGACATAATGTAATACAAGTCAAATCATTCCATTCCAGACTAGAGGCGGCATCCAGCAGCTACTCAGGGAATCCCTCCCAGCTGCCCAGACATCACTGTCAAAGACAATTTAAAATTCCCTCCCACTGTAAAGCCTGCCTGTGTGACACACAGGGACAAACACCCCTAGATACCACACAGCATCAGTTCATGAGAAGCCTTTCATTACGTATATAAAGGAAACAAAATTCTGGAGCACATTATAAAACAAAAAAGCGTGTTACATGTTGCTGCAAGATTAAATTTCTAAACAAAAATAACTTCTTTCTTTCAAGGCATTCTCTTAGGTTTCTGTTCATCCTATCCCTCCTCACTGCACATGTTCACTGGTTTCCTTTCTCGTTCCTTTTCCTTTTGATCTGGAGAAAGCCTGAAGTGCAAAGTTTTTTGGTTCCAGTCTTCGAAGGTGCATTTTGGTACTTGTGATCCACCAGGACAAAGAATTAGAAAGCTCAAACTAGTCATGGCTGGGCTTCGCGAACGAAGATTTGGGAAGGCTCTATCCACATTTGCTACAGGCACGCTGGTGGCTTATGAGGCCAATACGTGACAGACATATCCGATTGCAAAAGGCACAGCAGAAAGACTCCTTAGATGGTGTATTCTGCAATACACGGTTCTTTCTGCGTTGCCTTTTTTCCTTGAGGGTGATCCTGCGTGTGTTCTCAAAGGAGACAGCTGCGTTATAGATGGTGTGTCTCCAGGCCTCCCGATTTGAGGCCAGAGTAGACCAGTTATGGTGATCAATATGGCCAAGGCTGAGATGTTGTTTCAGGGAGTCCTTGTATCTTTTCTTCGGGGCTCCTCTCTTGCGGCAGTCGGTGGCAAGTTCACCATAGAGCAAGATCTTAGGGAGGCGGTGGTCCTTCATCCTGGAGACGTGCCCTGCCCATCGCAGCTGTGTTCTCATCAACATGGCCTCAATACTTGTGATAGCTGTTTGCTCTAGAACAGATGTGTTGGTCACATAGTCTGACCAGTGGATGTTTAGGATTGTGCGGAAGCAGCGTTGATGGAAGCTTTCTAAGAGACGCAGGTGGTGGCGGTAGATGACCCATGATTCGGAGCCATATAAGAGAGTCGACAGCACTATGGCTCTGTAAACACTGATCTTGGTACTTTTCTTCAAGTGTTTATTACGCCATACTCTTTTGTGGAGTTTTCCATAAGCACTATATGCCTTTGCTAACCTGTTGTCTATCTCTCCGTCGATCTTACCATCTGAGGAGATGAGGCTACCGAGGTAATTAAACTGTTGGACTGATTTGAGCTCTGATTGGCCAATGGTGATGTGGGGATGATGGGGGACTTCCTGAGGTGCAGGTTGATGGAGGACCTCTGTCTTCTTTAAGCTGACTTCCAGACCAAAGAGCTCAGCAGCATCTGCAAAGCAGGATGTTAAACACTGCAGGGCTGCTTCTGTGTGGGCAACGAGGGCGGCGTCATCAGCATAAAGCAGCTCCCGGACAAGATGGTTTAAGGTCTTGGTGTGGGCCTTCAGACACCTTAGATTGAATAGACTTCCATCAGTACGGTATCGAATGTAGATACCGTCCTGATCATCGAGGTCTGCTGTGGCCCTTTGGAGCATCATGCTAAAGAAGACGGTGAATAGGGTAGGAGCGAGAACGCAGCCTTGTTTCACACCATTCTTAATTAAAAAGGGCTCAGAAAGTGTGTTGCCATATCTGACTTGGCCGTGTTGATCCTCATGGAGTGAGATGATCATTTTAAGGAACTTGGGGGGACAACCTAAACGTTCCAAAATCTGCCACAGACCTTTTCTGCTCACTTTTTGCAAATCTTATAGTTACGGCTGGAAAACAGTGGCACTGTATCTCCAAATTTCTATTACTTACAACAGTCTGGGGAAAAATTCATCACTTTAGACTGTAACACTTTAAATGCCCGCACTAAATGCTAACACAACCAGTTCTGAAAGTCAAAAGAAAATTGCTTGATTATTTACAAGCCCAGTGTGTGAGCACACAAGACGAATTAAGATCGGTTTCCTTCTGTTAAAAGAAAATGTCCCAACCTTCATCAGTAAAATAACTCAAATAACTGAACTCTGGAATTTTATATGTAAACTTCTAGGAAAAAAAAACCACAAAAACGACTAAATAAGAATAAAAGAGAGGCTACTTAGCAGAAGAAGACAAGAAGGAGGGCAATACTGAAAGAAATTAAGTATTATATTTTTCAAATTTGTGCAATAAAATACCTCCTCGGTAAGGGGCGGAAGAGTTTTGACTACAGTGATTTCCAGCCATGGCACTGTGCCTGCAGAGATGTCTAACAATGTTCCAGCTGGCTCTGCTATAGCAACACAGAGCTCAACATGGGATAATGTGCCTCCCTGACAAACACCAGGAACACGAGCTCACCCCCTCCATCAGCTTCAGACTATCCCTGGGACTCCTCAGGCTGCCAAGGCGTATGGCCAACTTTAAGTAAGTGTTTCCTGATGTCAGACCTGAAAGAACATTTTAGAAAGACTACATCCTGAAATTTCTCTCTCCTTGAAAACCAGGGAGAAGAGTGGCAGAAGAAAAGGGTAGGTGTTAGCATCCCAAGAGGATATGGAGGATGGGAAGGCAACGAGTGCTGTGCTAAAATCACTGTGCTTGATGGAAAAAGGCTGCGGATCACTACACTCATCTTGGATTGCAAGCTTCCTCCATTTTTGTCTTGATATATTAAGTCAGGAAGTGCCCCTTGACCTCACCACATTTAGTTTTGCACTGATGCTTCAAAAAGGTTGTGAGTTGGGGTGCTCCAACTTTCTGTTAAGACTTTGATATACGGACTTGCAAGTCCATTTGGCTGTAAGGGAATATATAAAGAGGGAGGAGGGTGGGAAGGGGAAGAGACACTCAGAAAAACAACTCCAAGGCAGACTAGAAAGATTTCCTTACCAGTTTGGAGCACAAAGTAATAAAGAGACATTACATGAGTGTGTGCATCACAATTAAGGCAATTGCTTAGATCCAGACATGGATATTACATCACTACTATGAATTTTGAGGTGGCTTTCACTGTGGTAAAGCACATGTGTATTTACTTCAGTTTAATCACAAGGAAAATCTGCTTCCATGGGTAGAGAACCCTTACCTTCCAAAAAACTTTACTTTGAAAGTCACAGAAGCAACTAACACCACCAACATAACAAGCATATGGAACACAGAGCTCAGCAGAAAATTTATCAATAGCCAGGACTTGGAGCACAGTCTGAATGCACTCATGCTCTCACTTGTGTGTCTTGGGCCAAAACTACTCACAGCCTTCCAGTTAATCTACTCTCCTAAGTCACTGAAGCACTGCACTGGGCCAGTACATCCCCAGTATTCTATTTGCAGGAGAAGGAAAACGCATTTCCTCTGTGCTGTATCCTAAACTAGCAAGAATGTCACAAATAACCAAAACCGGTACACTGCACAAAAACCACTACCAAACTCATTGGTATGTTTTTATTGACCCCTCTGCTCTGCTCACACACATGCACCCTCATTTTTACTTCCAAACAGCTCACATTTTAAGCAAAATCATTTAAATTTCTCCTGATTTGGTTTGTTGATTATGTTCAAACATGAAGATTTTCTCAAGTAGCACACTGGTTAGAACACTACAGTTCTAACCAGCACAGCCTTTTGAAGTTCCAAGTCAGGACAGAAAAGGCACAGAAGCTTCTCTCTCTTCTGTCTATCAACATTATTTTAAAAGAAAAGGGATGGCATTTATTTCTATTTAATTTTCAGGTAGGGTATACCAGTCAAAGCAAGCAAATTTCTAATTCATGATTATCTAGCAGGAAATTATTAAATTTCACAAGCTGGAGATGGGGGGAGGGGGTGACACTACAACAACCACACTACCTTACCGTGCCAGATGACTGGATTTGCCCCAGCCAGAGCTCTAGAATCCTGTAATAAATCCTGATTATTTTGCAGCTCTGAACTCTTCATTTGCAATCACGTTGTTAATCTCAGCTACAGTACCCCAGACATTTGACCACTTTTCCCAAACTTGTCTTAATACAAAAAAAAAAAAAAAAAATCTGTATTTGATTCAATAATGTGAAATACAAGAATCAAGAACAATCAGGACAGAAATAGTCTATCTCCTCAACTTTCAGAACTCACTAGCTCAAACAACCATGTTTAATAACATCACCAAAAAACCTTCTCTGCCCTCAAATCAACTTTCACCTGCCTCAAGTAATTAGAGATCCAAAAGTTCCCTTTTGCATGCAGCATTCACTTCTACTCCATCCAGTTTAGACCTCAGTTCTTAATGGAAAAATATTTTTAAGTATGAAGCAAAAATAATCTAGTGGTCAAAAATAATTTCCTTAAAAAACATTAATTAAATGGTCTCAGCTCTTGTTACCTTTTTTCCAAAAAGTAAAGGGTTCTCTAGTCTTCCATAGATATTTGCAATTTCCTTCTTTATTGCATGACTTAATGTGAAATAGCAGAAAATAAAGAGGAAAACTGAAAAACGAGCAAAATAATTTTCAGTTTCAGGCTTTTTTTTGTTGTTTTTTTCTCCCTAGTTTGCAATTATTTAAGACAACTACGATTTTGTACACATTTGAACTCAATAAACTCTGCCTTGCAAAAAGGAAGTCTACAACAGTTTTGGCTTTCCTGTACTGTAAAGACTTCCCCAAGAACAGCAAGAATGTTTTCGGTTACCAGGTAGGACAGTATATTCTTTCACAAATGGCAATTATACAGTTAATTTTATTCCTCTGACAGAAAAAAAAAAAGCATACTCAGAGCTGTACCTTTCTCATACATGGTTACATGCTAAAATCTAACCCAGTCACATCACATTTACTCCCCTAAAAATGGCAAGCTACCAAGGACTTGCCCTCACAGCAGAAACTCAAATCCTAACCTGACTATGTAAGTCTTTTCAGTCTTCATACACCCCCATGAGCAGCTGTAGCATGCAATAATAGTTGAATGTTTTTTTCTGTGTGGTTCAAAGATAATCCTCTAAGAAGCTACATTGCACTGTGTTAATAAATAGTTCTTCCACAAAAGATCCACTTAATGGTGTTTTCCCCTGATGAAAACAAGCAGGTACATACTGATCTTCTGTTCCAAAAAACTTCACAAAGAAGCACTTTTTTCCACGAGGTTTCTTCAGATCTTTAGGTGGATTAACAATCTGAAGGTGATTAGAAGTGAAAGTTAAAAAGCACATAATGATAGATTTATACTCTGTGATTTTACTGTCCTGTCTTACAGCTATTGCAGATTTTTTTTTTTAATCTGACTAGGAAGAGAACTGGAATCTGCTATAAGTTTTTCAAGTAAATATGTAACTCAAGTATTTCCTTGGACATGGGAATGCTGCAGCAGAGACTGCATTCCGAGTGGAGTTTTCTACTCCCCAGCCCCAATAGATAAGCTGGCCACCCTTTGTAAAATTAAAGACAAAGGCACGAATAAAAGTTTGCTCCACTCACGTAACCTTTGAAATTTAAATTTAAACTTTGTCTTTACTCCCAGAATACATTGCTTATCAAGTTTAAAATATTAGTAAGGAGAAAAGCTGTCATTCAGTTACACAGGTGACACCTGTAGAGGAATCTGGTGTTAACTTGATCCAGTAACCAAACTTTTATGATTGTCAGCCAAATTGACAAGCTTTTTCCCAGACTCATGCTGTTACCTCAGCATGCTTAGCCCTCACACTGACACCAAAAATATAAGAAAGTTCTTTCAGAGAAGTAGAAATAATAGAAATGGTACATAAAATTCAATTATTTTTAATCTTTCACCAGAAAAAAACCCAGCTTAACCAAAAGAGAAAGTTTAACTACTCACTACCCCCAGAATTAGTACTCAAAAATCATAGCTCTAACAGTATCTTGAGAAGCCAGACTCCTAATTTCTATTATTAAACACAGTATAGTTAACCAACTTACTATGGAAGGAAAAAAACCAGTCTTACAGAAAGTGACAGGGATTAAATAACTAAATCTGGGAAACACAATCAGTTCCAGAGCTCCAGAGCTGGCTCTCTGTCGCTTTTTATTCCATCTGAATTACCAGCTGTTAATGGTGACAGGCTGAACTTCTAGATCAAATAAAGCCTGGTTCAAAGTTTAGATTTGTGGGGTGTGTGATTAAAAAACAAATAAATAAGAAAACTAGCATTAATCAACAACTGAAATGCCTTCAGGCAAAGCTTTCCCTACACAGAAGGAAAATGCAAAAGCAAGCAAACAAATAAAAACCACCAAAAACTAAGAAAGCAACAATAAAAACAAACAAACCTCACCTTTCCTGGCCATGGAGGATAACGACCCAGCTTCCCCCTAGATAAAAAAGAAAGTATTAGGCACTAGAACTAGACAAAAAACCTATTCCAGTATCTGCCTTTTCACATTATCTCATACTTTATATATTAGGAGAGTTACAACTTGCAGTCAAAACCTTCTGTGCAAGGCAGGACACAAGACTGACATATGCACCTAATGCAGGCTCTGAACAGTCTGACCTCACTGCACTGTCAGAACTGAAGAGAAGAGCAGCAGCACAGCTGCTGCCTGCAACACACAAGAGTAACAAGAACTGTAGCACTCTAAGAGTGGAGATTCCTTCACAAGGAGCTGGATAAAAGCACTGATGCATGCAATCAGCGCAAAGTTCAGGTTGGGAACTTCTATCCACCTGTCCAGAGCAGTCTGTGAGCAGAGTAGCCATCGACTCCCAGCTCAGAGAGCTGAGGTTCTGCGTTCTCACAGGATTCTCCCAGCAGGTGTTCCACCTTCTTCAGGTGCTCACCACCACAGTGACATGTGCTAAAGATATGAAGAGCCATTAAAAAAAGGCACAAAAGTTTCCTTCCTACATTTGCAAAGGTCTCCATTACGAAAACTAGACAATACTAGAAATACTTACAGAGAAGGAAGATACATCAGTCTTAGCCCTTAGCACAGCAGCTTTATCCTCATTTCACCCTCGTCACTAACTCGGGCGGCAGTGCTCACAAAACCTCGTCAGTCATTGTCTTGCAAGAGACTGGCAAAGAACCTGTGGGGCCCTGACACAAAACCTCTCAGCCAGTGGCACAGCAGCCCCTCGAGATGGACTCAGCAACCACAGGCAGGCAGGAACGCTGCCAGGAACCGTGATCGTGTCTCATACACTCTTGTACCAAATGAGACATCCAGCAAACCCTTTCTGCTGCTGCTGTCTGATTGTTAAAGTTCCCTGTGACAGCTCCAGGGACAGCACCTGCCTGGGCTGCCATGTACAAAACTAAAGCAGGATAGTCTGCATTCCAACACTGACAGCAGTCACTCCCCAAATTCTCATCTGAAAAAAAGGAGATTTGCTAAAAGTAAGCAATCTTTACTTACTTTGCCATATAAATTAGACAACTTCCCAGCACTGCCAATTTTTCAGATGAGAAGCTGCAGTTGTCACAGCCTGGAGCAGGCGCTTCTTTTTATCTGGGATATAAATACAGATGCATGCACTTGTGTGTTGGGAATTAACTACTTCTTGGAGCCCTGGCAGGACAACCTGGCCCATTCAGCACAGCAGAGCCACTTAATCATGGAATGCTCTCAGGCCTCCCGACCAGGAAACAAAAAGATCTGACTGTCTGAGGGTAAGATCGGAGTGAAAAGGGGAAATGGCTTCCGGGGGCTCCCACGGGGACACCCCAACCTACAAAGAAACGCTGTTTTCCAGAATATTGTTGTGTTGGTTCATTAAAGCACTGCCAAGAAACGGTGTCATGGCTCTCCCGAAACACCTCCTGACTAACCCCTGTTCCTTCTCGCCTCCCTTGGGAGGTGAGCCCGTGCTTCCGACCGAGCCTCGTAGCGCTCGCCCCTCCGTTCCGCTCCCCTCACCCCTCTATCCTACACAGCTTCCTTCCTCCATGCGACGTCCCCGGCAGCCTTCGGCGCCGGCCCAGCCCAGTCCGGTGTTCCCGGGCCGCCTCCCACCGCCCCCTTCACACCGCCCCCGGGACGGCGCCAGCGACACCCGGGACTCGCAGCGGCCCCACCGCTCTGCCCTGCCCAGCCCCGCCCTGTCCGCAGCCGCTCCCCGGAGTCCCCCGCGGCGCCGGGCTGACGGCGCCCGGCGCGCCCGGCCCAACCCAGCTCCGGCCGCGCCGCTCTCCGGGCCGGGCACAGCCCCGCCGCCGCCCCGCCTGCGTCTCCTCCGCCGCCGCAGCCGCAGCCTCATTCCGCGAGAGGCGCCCATCCCGCCACGCTCCGGCGCTCGCCCGCGGGCACGCCCGGACCGGGCCGCGCCGCCACTCACCACACCAGGTCTCCGAGCCTCAGACTCACGGCCGCCATCTTACCGACACCGCCGGGCCGCGCGGGTGCTGCCGGGACCGGGGGCCGCGCCCATGGGGCGGGGCCATCACGTGGGCGGGCGGGCCGTCACGTGGGCGGGCGGGCCGTCACGTGGGCGGACGAGCCGTCACGTGGGAGGGCGGGCCGTCACGTGGGAGGCGAGCTGTCACGTGGGCGGGCGGGCTGTCAGTGGCGGCCCCTCCCCAGCGTGACGGCGGCGGCATCGCCCACTGCCGGGCGGGGCGAGACCTAACTCAGCCCCTCCCTGGGGCGGGGCCTAATTTGGCTTCCCCCCCCCCGGAGGCGGAGCTTACCCGGCTCTTCCCTCCTCCGTCGGCACAGAGCCTGGAGTGCGGCGCGGGAACTAACGATCCCGATCCCGAAAAGCGGCAGAAACAAACTTCTTAACACCGATTCGTAGATGTTGAAAAGGGCATTCTTCTTTATTCAGCGCACTGGACGTTCGGAGGATAGCCCCTCTAATCGAACGCGCCAAATGGCAGATGGACAGGACTTTTTATTACACGTACTGTTTGCATATTCATTAGATATTCTCACTTACTTAAAACGTATTTATTAGTTTGCTTTACATGGTCGCACCCCTATTGGAAGTCCTTCTTTGGTCTTTCCGGGTCGTCTTCGTCATCTTGACTCCGGTCCTTGAGCAGGCACAGCGTCGTTGTGCTTTGCCAGCAAATGCTGTAACGTTTGTTCTTTATTTTATCTGGGTACACGGAGCTTAGTTTACATCCTGTTTGTTTGCATCTCTTATCGAATTCTCAGGGACTTCTCTAAGATTGCATTGTTCCTTATGTGGGCATTCCGGGATACCGTGAGTAAAGTTTCTATTTCTTTGACAGGAGAATTCGCTTTGAGGAGCAATAACCGGAGGGTTCCGCTGCCGCCCCTGGTGGGGACTGGCACCAGGGGCATCTGTGCCCCGCACCCGTATCGCCCGCTGACCTCCGGAGGGCCGCTCCGGGAGACGGCGGGTTTGGAATATGGTTTGTACTCGCTCTCCTGTGGGAGCAGTGGGAGACGCCGTCTGTGGTCGACTGTGGTGGAGCTGCATCGGTTTTCCCGGATGACTTGCTGTGTGTTGTGGTGGTGGCTTGTCTTTCTGTCCACCTAAGTAAGCCAATTTCACATTTTTTCCAAGCATTCTTGCTGCCTCTTCTGCCCTGTGCACCCACAGAAACCTGAGTTGGTAGGTGCCTCAGAGGGGCCTTAAAGAGCTTGATCCCTGTGCTGCACAGCCCTGGGTGCAAGCTCCCCACTCTCCACCCTGTAATGAGTGATTTAACTGCTCTGCTTTTCCCCCCAAATCTGGGTGGATTGAGGACAAGTATCTTAAGTGGTGTTTCTCAACTTAATCAGGGGCATCCTGTTTGTTCCTACCCCCCCTGTACTTTTTTAAGAGATGCACCATATTAGTCTTGTTTTAAGAGCATTAACTGCCTTTTAAATGTGTGTTTTACTTGTTTTGTGTGTAGCACATGCGCACACACCCCTTTATCTCCACACATTGATCTTGGCTGTTGGCAAAACCCACTTCATATCCCAATGCCTTCAATAAAGGACTCTGCAGCAATGCTGGAATTGATGTGGTTCCTTTAAGATATGATATGAGTTTAAAAAGAAAAATAAAACTCTGCTGTCAGATTTAATTTACTAGGGGCTGATATAGCTGGACCCACGCAGTTTCTACTCCTTAACTCTGCTCCTTAAACTCTAGTCATTAAAAGTGCAGCCAGAGCAGTCCTTGCTCGGGGGACTTTTCTCATCCCAGGAATGGAGTTCCAAGCCTGAATGCTGCTCACAGCCCAGCCTCTGACTCTGACTGATGCCAAAAAATCGGAGAAGAAACTCTATAGGTTCATTTTGAGTATAGAAAGCCAAAAAAGCACACATGTTTATTTCAGCGCTGGCTGCATCAGAAAAAAATTCCTAAGGGTGCACCCTGAACCATACAGCTTTCATAACTTTATACAACTCTCTAATTACACATTCAAGGATTACCTCACCTGTTCCACCCCATTTTCCACCCACCGTACGCCCCCCTGGAATTGCTTCAAGTGGCCCCTGGTGCCAGGCATCAACGTCATTCTTGCTACGTTCTTCTCTTGACTCCTAGACTTCCTGCCTTCTGGAACTGGCTCAAGGCCTAAACCCAGTCTCATGGATCTGTTTTGTCTTCTTTCTCGCATTTTATCCGTCCCTTCACAGGTGCAAGAACTGTCTCTGTTTTTATCACAATTCTTGCTTTTAAAGAATGGAGTGCTGTGTCCAGTTCTGAACCCCTCAATTTAGGAAGGACATTGAGGTGCTGGAGCAGGTCCAAAGAAGGGCAACAAGGCTGATGAAGGGACTGGAGCATAAGTCCTATGAGGAGAGGCTGAGGGAGTTGGAGTTGTTCAGCCTGGAGCAGAGGAGGCTCAGGGAGACCTTGTTGCTCTCTACAACTCCCTGGCAGGAAGGTGGAGCCAGGTGGGGATCAGTTTCTTCTCCCAGGCAACCAGCAGTAGGACAAGAAGGCATAGTCCAGGGGAGATTTAGGTTGAACATTAGGAAGAAATTTTTTACAGAGAGAGTGATCAGACATTGGAATGGGCTGCCAAGGGAAGTGGTGAATTCACCGTCTCTGGAGGTTTTTAAGATGAGACTGGATGTGGCACTTAGTGCCATGGTCTAGTAGGCAAGGTGATGTTGGGTCAAAGGTTGGACTTGATGATCTCAGAGGTCTTTTCCAACCCGTTTGATTCTGTGATTCACAAAAAACTATAAACTATGCACTTTGCCTTGAGAACTTCCAACCTTACTAAAACACATGAGTTCTATGGCTAGCACCCTCCTTTTAAAATGCTTAGTCTAAGACGCATAAATTCTATGGTTATCAGTTTCTAATAATTAAGTATTCTTAATTTTACTGCTATATACGACCTGGGGCACAACCTCAACGTTGCCTTAATCCTCCCAAACCCTGATTTTACCCAGGCGGTTGAACGTTCCTGACCTAGTAGCTGGATCTCCTCAAAACCAGATTTTTTTTCTATCCCAAACGCTGTTTCGGATACACATCTCAAACAGCCAAGCCAGGCTCTCCTCGGCCCCGCTCGGCCCCGCTCGGCTCCTCTCGGCCCCGCCCGGCTCTGCCCGGCCCCTCTCGGCTCCTCTCGGCCCCGCCCGGCTCTGCCCGGCCCCGCCCGGCTCCCCTCGGGCCCGCTCGGATCCGCTCCCTCAGCCGCCGCCATGGCCCGCAAGAAGCTGCACCGGCCCATCGCCGCCATGGCCAAGAAGATCCGCGAGTACCGCGCGCTGAAGGAGCGCCCGCGGGACTCTCAGCGCTTCGCCCTGGACTACGAGACCATGCGGCGGCCGCTGACGCAGAAGCGGCTGCCGGTGCGGGCCTGGGAGGACGTGCGGAACGAGAACCGGCTTTTCGCGCTGCTCTGCCGCCTGCCACGCTTCGGCGTGGGCCGCACCGTCACCCGCAAGTCCTGGCTGTGGGCGCACGACGAGCCCTGCTACTGGGTCATCACCAAGGTGAAGGCGGACTACACGGCCGAGGTACCCGCCCTGCCCCAGCCCCGCCCCCCGGGACCCCCGCCCGCCGCGCCCTGCCCTCAGCGCGATCCGCTTTTCTTTGCAGGACATGGACCATGGAAGAGCCTGGGGCTACCTGACCTTCAGAGGTGAGACCGGCTCGTTTTCCCACCCACGTGGAGAGCACCGGGAGGGCGGCAGGAAAAACGGCGGCCTCTCCCAGCCTGGGGAATTAGTGGGTTTTTTTTCAGATCTGCTAATGGGAAAAGAAGTTCCCCCTTGTTTAAGTTTCAAAAGCTGGGATCTAGCTCCCTCGGAGTGTCTTTCTGAGGACTGCTGTGGGAGACCCAGTGCAAGATGACCCTGGGGAACAGCAGCACTAACAGTGCTAGATGAGCTGACAGACTGCTCTGAGACTTTGAAAGCAAGACACAGAACGAGCACATGGGGGTGGTCCGGGTAAAACTGTCACTAAAAAGCTGCAGTGGCAAGCAGCTTATGTTACTGGAATTTTTAATTAATGCTTGGAGTTGAATGAGTGGATTTCCCTTTTTAGAGCTGCTTTATATTAGGTATACAATTGTCTCTTACAGGAGTTACTGAAATAGTTCTCGTTCAAAGGTTTTGAAGTTGTTGGGCACTTTTAACACTCGATTTTCCAGATGACTTTCATCAGTGTAGAGAGAAATTACTCTTGTTCCTTAGCAATGGAAATGGAACCTGAGAGAGATGAAATGACACTTTAAATTAAGAGAGGGAGTCACCCATAGTACTGAAACAACTTGCCTGTAGTCCTTTCAACCTGTTTCTGTTTTGATTTCCAATGACAGAAGTGAGATCCCATAGTATAGCAGGGGAGATCCTGTCCAACCCTTTGAAAACTCCATTTACTCTTACTGTTGCAGCATTTCGGGTGCCAAAGAGTTGACACTTGCTGTGTTTCCTGGAAGGAGTTTGTTGTGACGGTGTTGCCCACTGGTGTTCCTCATCTTTTCCCAGGCAAAACTGAAGAGGAAGTGAGAGAGATTGACAAAGTCATGTACCATGACTGGCGTATGGTGCCCAAGCACGAGGAGGAGGCCTTCAAGAAATTCACCCCAGTGCCTGAGGAGACTGTTCGGTTCCTGCCATACCCACCGCTGCTCCGAGCCATGATCCTTGCCCAGTGGCAGAAGGAGGGAAAACCAATCACAGAGGAGCCAGTTATTGATCTGCAGAAGGTCCTGGCCACTCCCCGAGAACGGGCAAAGAAAAAAGCTACAGGGACACCTGTATAAAGACTTGTTCTGTGTCCCGAGCTTCTTACATGCCTCTCACTGCCTGTTAGAAGCCCAGTGCAAGGGGATGTTACAGAGACCCCCGTGCCCACCATGGTAGGGTGTAGCCAGGTTCCCTGGCTTTCTCCCCAGCCCTGTACAGTCACCTCATCTCAAAGGGAAGATGCAGATATATTCAGACTCCTTTTCCGTAACGTTGGTCTCAGTCAGCAGAGGAACCGTCTTGGTTCCCTGAGTAGTCTCTGATTACACAGCTCCTGTCAGCCAGCTGCTATTCTTTGGAGCATAATTTTCTTTATAGCCTGAAAATTAATCTTTTGACAACATTTTTTAGATAATTTGGGTCCTGCATGAATCACGTGGAAATGACTAATAATATCACAGTATTTCACAGAGCTGTGAAGAAATGTATCTGCAAAAGAAAATAAATGTTGTCTTAATTCTGCAGCACAGTTCTAAGAAAACTTGGGAATTTTTTTCAATGCCTGGAGGTTATCATCTGCAGAGCCATTAGCGTACCAAACACAGGCAGAGCATCAGGTTCTCTGAACACTGCAGAATGATCTGGGTCACTTGCTTAGGATGGCAGTGCACATGAGGAGCACAGTTGGATAGTAAGCTATCCAAAGCTATCCATCCATAGCTACTCCAGAGATGGCTGTCGAGAGATAGGAGAAATTATTTTAGTTTTGGTGATGCAAAGGATGCATGATTGACTTTTACCATTTGAATCAGCCAATCACAAATGACTCCTGTTTCAGGGCAGCGCTTTGTGAACATTAAAACGTGCAGCTCCTGAAGACAGTTCCTGGCAGTTCATCTTCTCTTGCTGGCTGTGGATGCTGCTGCTGTGTCAGGGGTTGTTGGAGGGTCTGGTCTGGGTGTGGATGGATGGGGCACAGGAGCTGTTCTGGTCTGTAGATCAACTCCCTGCACAGAAGTAACTGTTTAGTTTCTGTGTCTGCCATAGCAGATAGTCAGGAAGTGGTGTTCCACTTGCTGCAGCATCCCAAAATCACAATTAGCCTGAGGGGATTTAGAGAGGGAGAGCACAAACTGGACTCTGCTCCACCCAGTCTGCCCTGGATGGGACTGGGGAATGTGTGGCCCCAGCCAGCAGGAAATAACTGCCATCAGGTAGGAGCACAGGATTGACATCAGCGACCTGGATTCCCACAGGGTTCCCCACCCGGAGGCTCCTGAAGGATTAAGGTGCTATGGAATAAGAGGGAAGGCTTTACTTGTGAGTTAAAGCCAGTCCTGTGACAAGATGTAGAGGCTGGGAAGAGCTGAGCCCGTTTGCCTGTAGTGGCAGGGCTTGTGCCAGGACTAATTCTCTGGCTTTGGAAGGAATGGGAGAATCCAGGGAAGGGAGAATCCAGAGCATTGCCACAGACAAAGAGTTTGAGACTGTGAGTCTTCCCACAGCTGTGGCTGGAAGGCAGCTTGGCTGGTTCTCAGAGCCTCCAGTGTCAGGCACTGTGCTGAGCTGATGGCTCCCGTCCTCACCAGGATGGAGGTGCTACTGAACTGACACACAAACTGAGGATGAGCAAGGAGGGAGAGAGCTGTGGGTGTGAGTTAGATGGCATGAGTAGAACAGCCTAGTCCTCTCTACTGCACAGCTGGGATCTGAACAGAGCCCTAGAACAGGCTCCCCCTGAGGGAGCACAGGCCCACAGAGTCTGCCCACAGTGGGCAGAGCCAAGTCTGGTCGCAGCATCCCCCAGCAGCCCCAGACAAGGCAAGAAGTAGCCATGACCAGGGGATACCAGGGAGTCCAGCCAGGATCAAAAGCAGATAGAGCTGATAACACCATAAGGTGTAGAGGCATCCAACAGTTTGGGTGGGGAGGGACCTCTGAAGATGATCTCGTTGAGCCCCTCCAAGTCCAAGGGGTCCATCCAGGAACAGCTAGGGACAGACACAGCTACAGGCATATTGAAGGTCCCAGTTCATGTTTAAATGAGGCTCCTGGGCCATAGGAGGAAAGGGCCTCTGTTACAGCTGGCGGTTTAGGTGGTGCTGATCAGGACAGCCATGTCCGGCTGGTGACCTTAACACCTGGGGGAAGGGTGTCCCCTCACAGAACCCTGTGCAGCCTGAGAGCCTTGTCCAATGGTGAAGGTCCCTTCCAGGAAGCTGCACAGCCCATTTGCCACTGGCTGGATTCCACGTCCAGAACATGCTGTGAGCTTTGCTGGCCCTCCCAAACCTGTACAGTTACCTCACATTTACCAGTATGGGGGGGGGGGAGTTGTCTGAGGGATGATGGCAGTGACCTGCTTCCTCACCCACCCTGGTGGGTACCAGACATGTCTGCACTTCACCTAGAGCCCTGCTCAAACTGCTCCAGGCCTTATTCAAGGGTGCAGCCCCAGGAGTGCAGGACTGGTCCCAGCACGTTTCCAAACTGTGGTTGAGATGCCTCCACTAATGCTGGAGGCGTTGCCAGTTGTGCGACACCCTGGCCTGTGCTGCCCCGCAGTGCACGTGTTGGTCATGGATGAGACTCACTTCAGGGCCCCCTGCTCAGGGCAGAACATGCTCCTGTTGTAAGGAGGTGGCTCCCTTGTACACTGCCACATACGGCCCTTGAACTAACACGGTTCTACAAAATATGGAAGTGTCCAAGTGCTGCCGGGGCTGAGGAGCTCCCTCCCCACGGTGTCTGTCGCAGAGGCCTAAGGGACTGTGAAGTGCCACCCTGTACCGTGTTGAAAGCTGACCTGATGTGTTAACCCTGGCGGTTCACCTGAAGGGGCCACCCTGACAGAAGCTGCAGCAAGCCAGCAGATGGATGCTTCTCTGCTCTCATATTTCTGAAGTTGTCCCACCTTAAATTTCCAGCTTTTATTTCTGCTGCTGGCAGAAACTACAGATTGCCTTTGGCTTGCTGGACCAGCCCCTTCTGCTGTGACTCTGTGAGCCATCCACACCTCATTTCTTGCCACTAAACTGCTCAACAACAGTGAACACTTGAGCTGCATTCCCACCCTTTTTAAGTGTCCCACTCTTAAAAGACTGAGAAGCAATCCCAGTGCTTTCACAGGAACACAATGCACTGCCCAAGATGATGTTAACACGTTTATTACATACAGAACAGATATGGTTTGTTGTTGATAGCATAGGGGACAAAGCATGGGAACGTATTAATACAGCAGGCTCTTTACAGAATGCCATCTTCAGACCGAACAGCGGAGTTTACAGGCCTTGAGACACTTTTTAAAATCCTTTTGTAACATACAAGATACTTTACATACATCACAGTGGAGATATGACAGGGAAGTGTGCTGAAGCCAGTCAGTTCTCACCTTGATGCCCAGCAGCCACCCAAGGCTGCAGGAGCTGCCAGCAGAGGCCAGGTCTCCCCCTGGAGCTGCCCCTCTGGGCTATGTGCTTCTCTTGGAGGAAAACATGCACCGAGCTGGAAAGGAACCTGGTGGTAGAGGCCCCAGACTGATTTCCTCATGTTGCCGGAGCCCAGTGGGTGACAGAAGACCAAGTGCTGTCCCTTCAACTGCTCAAACCAGATACAGAACAAACAGTCAGAGGTACAAATGTTACAATTCTGATTTTCCTCCAAAAGAAGTTGACAGAGTGAAGGAACTGGACTCTACCAGGGCTTTTTTTCTTTTTTTTTTTTTTTTTTTTCCCCTTCAACTAGTCCAAATTCTGAAGTTTATCTGGCCCTAACTGATGAACTGTTACATGACAGTGGAATCTGTGCTTTAAATGTTATATTCTTAACTTAATGCACTCTGTGTTGGGACCCAAAGAGCTCTTCATAGCAGAAAGCATATGGGGAAAGTGAATGAGAAGCCTGGCATGGTCAGCAGTGGCCCAGTGAAATGTCCCTGGTGAAAGGTCCCCCCACATGCAGATGGTGACTCCAGGTATCCCTTAACCCAGTGCCAGCCACAGAGCCCAGTGTGCTGATGCCTGGAAGACTCTCTCCGGCTGGATTCCTGCCTTGGGGAGGACTGGTGTGGGTGGTGTGTCACCAGCACTTCTCACAGGCAGCCATGGGCACCACTGCAGCTGGCTGAGGCCTTTATTCACCAGAGATGTTGCTTGCCTCCTTGCAGGGGCAATGTATGCCCCAGCCTTTCCTGAACTGTGGATCCAAAAATCGTTTCAGTGCTGCTGCATCAGCAGAGATGCCACCTGTTAGAGCATCACCTGGGAACATGGCATCCCTGCAGCACAGCAGGAGCTTTAGACCACAAGCCTTGTGAACAGCCTGGCCCATGGCAGCAAGCACAGGACACAGCTGTGAGCTTTCTGGGAGATGGAGGCTTGCCCAACTGTCCCTATACTGTCATAAGGATGTCCCTGTGAACCCCAGAGTGCTGCACAGCTCAAGGAAGAAACAAGATGACCACCAGGAGCTTCCAAATTTATAACTAACAACTGCGACTTGCCCTAGTCCTGCACATTCAGAAAGGAGTCCTCTGGGGACATGGAACTTGTCCTTGTTGGATGGGACTGTTTCTGCTGACAGAAAGGGGGAACACACCACTGCCTCTACACCTGGAGCTGCCACATTCTGCACCTTGAGCTCAAAACCACTCTCCTTGGCCCCGTATTTTTGCACATCTGCCATCGCCCAGCAGTGCTTACACAGGGAGGGCCGTCACCACTTCTCTAAGGGGCTGTCAACTTTTTTCAGGAGTCAGACATTTCCAGCTTTTTAAACTACTTACTAACACAGTTAGTGTTAGATAAAAGATGCTGGGAAATCTGTCCTCAATTCCTTTTTCTATGTGACTTCAGGTGAGACATGGCCTTTTTGTACCTTGACTGCACATCCAGTCTTTCCCAACTGACAGCCAATCTGTTTTCCTGTGAAAACAGAGATCTCCTTCCAGCAGTTCCTGGGAAGGGGACATAGCCTTGAGTCAAGGCAATGTCAATGTGTTAATGAGAATTCACAGCAGATCACCACCCTCTGCCCTCGCATGTGTTTTAAAAGCCACCAAATGCAATGCAGAGATAACTTTCTTCTGAACCTTTCAGAACCAACTCGGGAGTTCTTTACTGCCTGGCATTTTTAGAAGGGGGAGTTAGGTGTTGTCTTTTCTGCTCTTGAAAAAGCAGTGTTCCAGTACCCCTTTGCTACCACAGCCATGTGGCCTCCACAATCAAACACCCATTTGCCATCTGAGGCCACCAAACAATCCTCTTGGGACACACACACAGGCACCCAGCACACAACTGCTGAGACAACAGCAGCAGCAGAGGACAGGACCTTCCCACTGCAAAGACAGAGGATATGAACCCCACAGTAATGGTGCTGCTGCCTCCTCCAGCCCAGCAGCAGAAGGGTTGCCCAAATCATGATGCTCTTTTCTACTGAGGCCTCCTTGGACTTATCTGCTCTCAGTCCATGGGATGTTATTCTGTGCTTAAGGGTGGATAAGGTGGAGAGTCCACCGGTGAACTAGAAGGGATTTCTGTAGAAGTGATTCACCACCAGTGCTTTGCAGGGGATGCCTGGGGACACACTTCTTTCTCATGCAGGTGGGAGTGAGGCAACCTGCCCGAGAACCTGAGCCACCCCGCTCTAGCTGGGCAAAGGCTTCCCACAGTCCTGGCTCCAAGCTCACTTCACGATGCGCTGCCATTTCTCTCCTTGCAGATGCCAGCTCCAGAGCAGAACAAGAATCCAACCATGCCGAAAGCACACGGGCCCGAGATGAAAGCTGCGAGTTCCGAGGGGGTCACAGTCTGAGGCAGGAGCCGTTGCAGTTGTCCGGGGTCAGTTTCCAGCAGGAGTTATAATGCAGGCGTTCTGTATGTACATCTTGGCATTCAGGCGGGAGGAGGGACACTTACATTGAGGGGAAGGAGGAATTCTCACTCAGGGATATATGATACCTGCCACACAATAATGTGGCTCCGTTCAGCCTTGGAAAGTACTGGCTTCACCTGCGTGGCATCTCCTGCGTTTTCCTCTGTCTCATCATCTTCCCCATCCCCTGGAGAGAGAAAACAGAGAGTAAAAATGGCAAGAAAGAAAATCCCATAGTGCACTGTTCTGCAATACTCCCAAAGTGGCCAATACTGTTACAGTCCCAGCAGTCTGACAACAGACACCATGAGCTGAGACGTTCCTCTGTGCCTGAAGAACAATTACAGCAAGACAATGCTTTTCCAAAGTCGGATTGCATGGATGGGAGAAACCAGCTCCAGCAGCAGCAAAAACCACCCTTCTTTTCAGGGAGGCCAACTTTTAGACACAGAGCACCCTCAGCAGCACGGGTGATCCCAGTGGGGCAGCAACATTTGGAGCCAGTGGCACAGAGGGGTTTGTTCTTTCCAGAGCCATCGTCACAGCCATGTGGTACTGCAGGCACAGGGCAGAGGTTGGGAGCCTTGCGCTGTGCAAGGCAAATCTTTCTCTGCCCTCACAGCTAGATGCAGGAGAAACAGAGCGTGGGGGTTTTCTGCTTTGGCTCCCCACAGCCGCGATGCCTCGCTCCATGACCACAGCCACGCACCCTCTCCCCTTCCAGGTGCCTCCCACCACAGGCACTCACCGATCCGGAAATCGATGTACCCTTCTCCTCCACTCAGCACAAGGACGTTCTTCAGCTTCTGCCCCTCAGTCTCGGTGGCTGCTGTGCTGGGGTTCTCCGAAGGGCTGTCCAACACGCTCCCATTCAGGGTCGCAAGGACATTACCTGGGAGAGGACAGAGGTGCTGTCAGTGCCTCTGCTCAGCCTCCGCGCAGTTCACACACACGCAAACACGCCGGGCAGACAAGTTCCTTCTGCTGGTCAAATCTGGCAGTCGCTGCAGTTTAAACCCCTGTGTGTGAGCCACAGGAAGTGCCAGTCATGGCCTGCACCCCCGTCTGCTGCAGAGCAGCTCCAGTCCCCATTACAGAAGGGATGGCAGAACAAGCCCCTGCTGAGGAAGGGCTCTGCTCATCCTTACCAGGCACAGAGACGAAGAATTTGACAGCATCCCGGTGTCCATGGAAACAGAGCTGTGCCTGAGCCATAGAGCAGTAGGGAATGAAGCTGCTGGCAGATTTGTCACTGTTGTCATCACCGTACACGTGGATGACCCCACCGGAGCGGCTGCCCTCTCCAGAGGTTGGTGAGGTCTTGTTGGCTGGGGATAGGGAGGAGGAACATCATCAGTGATAGCTTTGAGTCCCCTTTACAGAAGGGACTCAATCAAAGAGAAAACTCATGAGTCATGAAGGAAAACCTTTAAAGGCACAGGTCTCTTAAAGGTCTTGTGTGAATGATGTGATGGAAGAGACCACACCAGATTACACAGTCCCTCTCTTTTAGACTGGGGCAAGCTAGACTGGTGTCCCAGTGAAGGACTCACCAGCAGTGATTCTGTCCAGCCTCCAGAATCACCCACTGTCCTAGTACCAGCCTTGGTTTTTTGTACCTGGCAGGGTATCCAATGGTGTCCACTGTTCCCAGAGACACCCAGGGCACCTAGAGGAGAATTACTGCTATTCTCTGGATAGGTGAAGTTGCTCGGTTTCCAAGTCAAGTCCTTGCTCATGCCCAGCTGTGAGCATACGTGCTGCTGAAAGCAGTCACTGGGTCTGGTGAAGCCTCTTGGCCCAGTCAAAGCCATCACAGAAGTGGAGTTCCTTCCTCAGTTCTTGATTTAACCAGAAAATCAAACTACTCCAGCAATGAACATTTGAAACATGTTCACCATCCACAGCTTCCAAGGATTTCAAGGTGGGCTCAGGGGCCTGCATCTTTCATGTCCAGGCTCAGAGAATGTGAAAGTTTCCAATCACCAAGCAACAGAGACCAGTGCTCAGAGCTCAGAACAGGGCATGCTTTCCTTCTGCATACACCCACATCAGTACAACAGGAACAGCACTAAAATCAGGCAGCTTTCAATGAAGCTTGATTGCTTCATTAATTATCTGTAATTCTGTATTTTGACTTGGGCTGGATTTCAGTTATTAAGTGATTTGGACAAAGGAGACTTTTCCCTATCAGGCTCAAGCAAGGATGGCAAGACAAGTACAAATACTTTGCTGGAGGAATGAGAATCAGTGTGTATACAGGATATGGCTTTTTACTGCAACTTATATCAGCTGCTTTAAAATGAGGAGACACATGTTGACAGTGTTTCTGGACAGCCATATATATTTCTTTGAGTGAAAAAAAACCCCTAATTTCTGACCCTGGAAAGGCATAAATTTAAACTCAGACCCTGCCTTAGCTGGGCAAACAAACAGTTTGAACTTAGCTTTGAACAAACCCAAACAGTTCTTCATGTTTATCAAGTCCTCTTGGGTTAAACATCTTGGTTGATGACTTGCAGCTGGCAGGTGCCACAGCACCTCCTTGCCCTTGGCCTGCAACTGATGAGAGAAACATCCTTGGAAAAACAAGGATGACCAAGGAAGACCTTGGAAGAACACTCTACTCCTGCTTCCTGGAACCCTCTGACTGAATGAACCTCTCCAGTCCCCATCTCAAACCTGGCCTACCACAGCAAGGGAACCACTGATGAAGAATAAATTACTCTTGACACAAAAAAACCAGATGGATGGCTGATGAGATGGTAAAAAATGTTTATAGCTTTGGGAAATGAGGATATTTACGTGACTGTCTTTGGTTGCTTTTCTCCAGTGTGACTTACAACGAAAGAGTGATGAGCAAAAAATGGATGGAGAGAGCTGAACGGCAGGATGGAAGGGTGGGAGAGCAACTGCGACGGGAGGCAGGTGCGGAAGGAGTGAGAGCTGAGGAGAAGAGGCAATGGACTTACCCCGGAGCCCAAGGAGTTGGCCTCGGTGGAGGACTACAGCTAGGCACAGGCAGGGAGTGGGAACACAGAGGGGCACGGGAAGTGACGGGCAGGAGAGGAGAGAAGAAAAAGGTGATTACTGGGAGATAATTCAGGGGGCAACAGAAAGAGTAAAAAAACCCTAGAGAAACCACCACAGGATCTCTGATGTAGTTCACACCTACACTGTTCTTGCTCACTTGGCTCTTACCTTACAGGGACAAATGTGGTATCTGAGATGGGAGAGGGACTGTGTCACAAGGATCCACTGCTGCATTTCTAGTGAGACCTTCCTGCTTACCACATTTTTACAGGAACACCCAAAGATAAAGCAATTGTTTGACAGCAGGGAAAAGGCTTAACTCAGATTAAGGACAGCAGCCCCAAGACAGAATGGGCTTCAGAACAGGGACTCAGAAATGAGACTGAGATTGCAATGCACGAAGAGGACCGTGTCACTGCCCTCCTGGTGTCAGCCCCAGGCACATCCAGCTCCACTGGCCTCAGAGATCATCCCTGACTTCCAGGAGGATTACAAGAGGTTTGCTCCTTTTATACAAGAGCTATTTGCCTCTCAGCTTTCCTGTAAGCAGTGGTGAGAAAATGTAAATTTGACTACTTTCTAGTGAAAGCAATTGCAAGCAGCCTCAAATCCTACTCCCCCGTGGTGATCTGGAACAGACTGCCAAAATAAGATGCTGATGGGCAGGTATAGAACAGGATTACTAAAAGCTTCAACTAAACTTCCAGCTCTGGAGATGCACCTATTTGCACCTACTGCTGGGTCCCCTCCCCAGGCTGGATTTGGTGTAGGATACCAATTTCTAATTGACTGATGTAGTTGAACCCTAATTTGAGTAAATCAAGCTTTTCTAAGGTCAGTTTCTGGAAAATACTGCTATGGAGATATTTAGATGTCTATGCCAAAATGAAATTTCCAGGGACATCTTCCTGGTGACTGACTTCTCATCCCACAGCCTCCTTTTGTTTCTCCTGCTTCACAGTAGCTACAGAATCAGTTCATATCACTCTGCTCTGTCAAGGTCATGCTCTAAAAAGAAGACTGTAGGGATGGTAGAGATGTCCCCCCACGGAGGAAATAGCTTCAACTGAACTGAAAAGGGCAGAAACAAATACCTGCTTGGTTTTAAATAGGTTACATCCATTCAACCGAACACTTAATTCCTTAATAAAGAAGAGTTACACCAAGTCCAGGGCTGCTCACACTTCGGGCTCTTCTCCCTGAACACAGCTACGATCAAGGGGTGTCAGATGTTGGGAAAGCATCAGCCTGCCCAAGCCACCCACAAGTAACACCCAAAAGCTTCTTTCTTTTTTTAGTGGGGGGATGCAGAAGTACCTTCAATAAATGTCACTTACTCTTTGTCAGGGGAATGGAGATGACGACACCGTTCCCGGTGCCCACCCAAAGGCGGTTGCCAGCGATGAGAAGGGCTGTGATCCGCACGAAGGAGAAACCCAGCTTTCCAGTGCCTAGGAAGCATGAATGAGAGTTGGGGAGTCAGTGATGACTTTGGGCAAGGTCTGCTTTGGGCAAATTCTGCTCTGATCTCAGTAAGTAACAGACCACTTTCTGACAGGCCCCACTGCCTCACCCAGCATCTTGCTGACGTAAGGCTCAATGTCGACATCCTGCAGGTGCTGATGGCTGTGGGCATGGTAGAGCCTCAGGGTGGAGTCCAGACGGATGGAAACCCACACTCCATCTCCAATCCATGCCAGCTGTCGCACCTGGCTCTCTCGCCGAGGGTGGGCATCAAAGGATTTCTGAAATAGGTGAACCAACATGAGTTCACAAAAGGTTTGCCATTATCTACACATATACTCCATTTTCCTCAACTGAGATCACTTGTTTGGGTTCCAAAGCTCTTGGAGAAGCTGTGTTAATGCCAGCTGACCACAGCAGTTTACTACAGGACACAGAAAATCCCTCGCTTGAGCAGCTTTGGAGAGTGGATGGTCTTTGCAGACCAGTTCAGGAGCAAGGGCTTTCAATGTACTTAATAGAAAAGGAAAACACACAACTCCAGGATAAATTCCAAAGATCAAATTGCCTTGGCTCACTGATGTGAACTTCAGATCCAGCACTACTTCTCTTCTTGACAGGATTATTTCAAGCACTCTCAGACAGATTTGTACCAACACCACTGTACTGAATTTCAACCAAAAGGCTCTAAAGATCATTTTTTCCTTAGGTAGCTGGGATCACGGGGGCTTGCTAACTGTACTGTTCCTCTGTGCCACAATGCCTACAGATGAAGCCTCAGACCACATGTGAAGGGTCACTGTCAAGCACATACCTATGTTTTGACAGTACGTGGCCTCATAGACTCATGAGTAAAGGCAAAGAAAATGCTCAGTTTAGACTTATCTAAAGAATTATGTTCTGCAAAGGGAGGAAGGAATAAATACCTCCTGGCAGATTGGATCATAAATGACCCAGACTGACAGTTTGGGTTCTGCAGTAAGCAATGACAACCCAAAGGTTCTGCATTTCACACAGTGCAGCAGAAAACAGCTGTAAGAATAAATACAACGCGTGTGTGTGCACAGACACACGTGTGCTCTCTTACCTCAATCTGCATCGTCTTTGGCTGGATAACATGGATTTTGTTCTTGTAGCCACACCAGACTCTATCGTAGACCACAGCCATGCAGCGGATCGAGTGGTGAGTGTGGCCGAGATCCATCAGGTGGTAATTACTGAGATCCCACTGGCCATCTGAGGTGAAAAGCAAGTGTGGAAAGATGCATCTCCACCATAACATGTCAGCATACAACAGAATCCTCTACCTTTCCCTGTATATTCGGGTATATAGGCTTAGTCGGTACTCAAATGCTCAGTTGGCTTATGTCTGTGACTTTCCCATGCCTCCATACTCCTGCTTCAGGCACAGTCTTACACTGATGAAACATGCAATAATAAAGTTTAATTTGGTGTCTAAAAGTGCTCCAAATCAGTATCCTTTACTGCAATGAAACAAACAGGCTTCTCTAACAAGTACAAAAACCAGCAGGAGAAGAAGACTTGAAAAGGAAATGGTCATACAGTCCTTGTAGTGAGGCTTCCTCACATCACAGACATACAACATAATTCCCTCAAAGTGTCAAACCCAGGATAAGGAATCAGATCTCCCTGCTCTCACTGTTATTTCTAACTAACCAGGCAGATATTTGTGTCCTTCACAGACAGTCAGTCTCTCTGTCATGAAGCTTTATCTTATTTCTGATGGGAACAATTTTGATGTGTCAATGGTCAGGTTTGAGCTCGTGATAAAAGCTGAATCAAAGTTTGAATTGCATGAATCCAGAAATCTCTATATTTCAGCTCGCTGAATGAACTGCTACTCAAGGAATAACTAAGCTCTTTATATGCTAACATTAGTCACAGTTAGCAAATTCCCAAGAGCTGTCAGGTATGAACACAGCTACGAAACTGCTCAAGCCATAGGGAAACAAAACCCACAGAAGTGAAGAGCAACAGAAATTGAATTTACCAAGTGTGCCTCAAGCAACTGCACAGCATGTGTATTTCTAAAAGTGTCATATTTACTCTACATGTGCTACACAGCCCATACACACACATTTTCGTTCAGAATAGCTCAGGAAGCGGTGCTAGTGTAAGCCTGGGATGGTTTAGGATAGCAATTATGTGTATAATAGCTATGTGTTTTAACTCTGTTTGTACTGCTGCACTTTCAGCCAAATTTTGTTTTCTCTATTACATTGATTCTTACCTTCTCCCCGGTGGAATATGGCTAGTGTTCCATCTGCCAGAGCAACCAGGACTCTCCCTTTCACATGCCTGAAATCACGGAACAGTAAATGCTTACAAAAGCCTGCAGATGTGAGGGACTAATAAACTCTTCCTGCCATCCATACACACGATCTTTATGTTGTCTTTACAATTCCCAGTCAGTTCAGCACTTGCAGGAACATCCTGCAAGAGGTCACACCTTCATTGCAATAGGATCATCCCTAAATTTTATGTTGAGGAAATTCTTCTCCTTCACAATACAAACCCCATCAATTTCAACAAATTCCCCCTAATTTACTCCTCAGTGAAATTTTGCCTTTCTCTTCCCCACTCACTTCCTCCTGATACTGCTAATCACGTATTCACTAACTTGGGTCAGGGCTGGGTCAGGGCTGCAGTTGAGCAGGAAAATGGGTCAGTATGAGGCTTACCCATAACAAAAACCTTGGGAAACTTCCCTCACAAACCAAGGCACTCGGGAGAGCAAAGAAAAAGTTATGGCTGCCACATTCCTGGAATTGTTCAAGGCCAGGAACGTGGACAGGGCTTGGAGTAGCCTGGCCTGCGGCAGGGAGTTGGAACAATTACCAATTAGCAAGGTCCCTTCCAACCCAAACCATTCTGTGGTTCTGTGAGTCTATGACAAAGAGCTGCTACCACCCCTCTAAAGTATCACTTATGCCCTGAACCTTCTCCTGCAGGTCCCTTGGAATGCACACTTACACCAGGCTCAGCACAGAGTCCTTCAGCTTTATTGAGTGCAGACACTTCTTCCAGTTGGACACAGCCGAGTGCACATAAAGCCTGTGAGAGAGGACAAATTGGGGAAGGTGAGCAGCAGGCCCCACACCTTCAGCTTGACCAGGCTTGAGTCTTTTCTTCTGGTAGGAAAGTGAGGTTAAAACCCTCAGACTATGGTGAGCTGAGCAATGAAATGATGAATAAAAACATTCTCCAGAAACAAGCAGTAAACTAAAGGTGTGTGGACATGAAAAACAGAGCCCAGAGCATGGAGGTGACAGAGATCTGCCAGCTCAAGGGGAACGCACCAGCCATTCTGAGCTCCCAGCCACATGGTGGGGGCAGCACTGGTGCAGGTCCCAGCAGCATCGCTGGTTGGCTCTTGATCTGGCAGCGTTGTGCTGGGCTCCGTCTTCAGCTGCCCGTTCTCCCTGAAGAGGCAAAAGAATAGCATTAGAGGTTTAGCAGCAGCACTGCACAGAATGCCTTCCTAGGCCCACAGCCTGGCACTCACAGGCAGGTGTGGGGCCTTGCAGGCACAAATCGCTTTCCACCCTTTGGTGGTTTTTAATTGCAGATTTGCAATTTGCAACATTTCCTTCCTCCCCCGCCAACAAACAAGTACTTCAAATCTACAGACCCTCACTGAATGTTTAGAAGGACTATTACACAAACAGTATCTTCTCTGTTCATTTCCAACTTCAACAGAAACATCTTAGAGCAACTTGGGCATTTAGGAACAATCTGTACACGAGACGTCCACTCTGCTCCTCAGGCCCTCACATCAGACTTGTTTGTCTTAAGAATTTCTGGGTGGTGAATATTCTTTCTTGGTTACTTTTACAGCAAATCAGAGGTACTACTAGAATAAATCAATCATCATTTTTACACACAGATCAGAAAGTTCCTTCAGCGGGAACATGAAATGTGCACGTTCTTTGGAAGATCTGCCTTAACCGCAGGTCTGCCTTCATAGTGAGAGGTTCAATACTCGCACTTTAACAGTCTGCTCCAGGCTAAGCCATGTTTATTTTCATTTCATTTCCTTCCCTCCTATCATCCCATCTGTAATACTACTTGGGCACAAAACTGATAGAAGTCTGACGCTCTAGCAGAAGACCAGGTTGCTTCTCTTATCCCAAAGCTTATGAAAACAGAGCTGATCAGTAACTGAGCTGGCACTCTGACCCCAGTCCTCCTACCCGTTCTGCCTGGGTGCCTGTGCTGGGACAGGGTCTGTGAACACATGCTCGGTGAGGGGCCCGGCCCGGGCCTGCGCCGGCTCTGCCTCGCTGGCACTGCTCTCCGGGACCTCCGTAGCCTCTGTTGCCTCCTCAGTAGACTGGGACTGGTTGATCTTCCCATTGCAGACGGGAGCCACCTCACCTGGAGGACAAGGAACAGTGTGAGATGTGCTGGAGAATGAGCTGGTGAGTTAACTATATATAGACACCAGGCTATAGTCAATTCTTTATCTTTCCTTGCCAAACTCAACCAAGCCCTGAGCCTGCGCCACAGACAGCAGCTCATCCAGCATCTTCTGCCTGGATGGGGAACAGAGACCATTTTAAAGTGAGGCACAATCTGTGACTAGCACAGCACCAGAAGGTCTCCAGGGCTGTCACTGCAGTATGGAGTCAGCAAGGGCAGCAGTGTGATTTGCATATGAGCTTAATTGGCTTCCTAAGGCTCAGGGGAGAAAGCAATGAGAACAGCAGCAACTGTAGCAGGGCAAACATCTCACCTGTCCAAAATACTCTGCTGTGAGACTCCCATAGCCAGGGCTGCAGGATGTGGATCAGAGAGAAAAGGAGGGCTCAGAGGAGAAATGTACCAAAAGAGCCTTTGTTCCTCCCGTACCACATTAAGAAACTTCTGGAGGCCTCTCAAGTGTTTAACTTAGGGACAGAAGGATGTGGCTCTAACACCATGGGCTCGTACAAGACTAGCTGTAATTGAACTGTCACTAAATTTTATGTCCCAAAACTCACTCTGTCCCTTGTCCAGCACAGGTGTGTCCCCACGCGAGGAACAGTTGCTTCGTGGCACATTGCAGCGGGTCGCACAGCCCACCAGCGTGATCCCTGCCAAGACACCGTCTGCTCCAGCCGACTCCTCAGGATTCACATCCCCCTCCAGGAAGATCTCGCCCGGGGGATAGTCACTCTCACTGGCCGCTGAAGGGCAAAGAACAGATTCTCACATAAACCAAGCTGCCCTCCTGAGGTCACCCTAATGATGGGAGAGGCTGACACTTGGGGTTCACCACCCTGAGAGACACCACAGCTTCCACCAGCACCATGGCAGATCCCCTCATCCCTAGCATCAGCATCCAGGGCAGGTACAGAGCCCCCCCAAACTCGGGCAAGGCTCACTCCTGTTCCCAAAAACCCATCTTTTGTTTGTGCCAAAGGAGCAACTCACTGAACATTCAACAGGGAGGGATCTCCACAACAGGAAGGCGAGATCTGGGTTATGGTGTTTGGAGGACACAACAGAGCCCAAGGATTAGTTCCCAAGTGAGGACATCTGCACTCCTCAGTGGGGCAGGCAGGTGACCCAGTGCAGACCCCAGCTTGGGCCCCACTCACCGGGGATGCTGGAAATGCAGAGCACGTGGGCGTTGCAGACAGTGAACTGGTCCACCACAGTGCCGGGCTGGTTGGCATCAATGATCACAACTTTACTGGTGGACAGTGTGCTAGTGAGGATCCAGACACGGCTGGATGTGGCGTCCATCTCATGGAGTTCCTTTGCCTTTGGGAGAGCAAACACATGGGCCCAATCAGCGCTCCTCCTGGATCAGCCTGAGCCTCAGCAGTGCTTTGGCAACATTTACACATGGTGTAATTTATATTAAATTATATATTCTATTCTATAGTAAATTAATTTTCTGTTTTATATATTTGTATATTAATTTATATTTTAATGTTTACTAATCTAATTTCATTCATATTGCTGCACTAGTACCCAGAGCACTGGACAAAGAGCCTGTCTGGCTCCTCAGGGCAAGAGGAATTTGGCCACTAATTTCTCCGTTGAGATGTCTGACTAATATGTCGCTGAATATTCTTTCAGCCACAACACCATGAGGCTGGGATGCACCCAACTGATCATCTTAAGCAAGCTGGTCTCAGAAGAGTATAGGGCAGCAGTGTAAGACAGCTGTGGAAAAAAATCCCACAAACCAGAGAGCTGAATTATTATCTGCAAATTACAGTTTGCTTCTTTAAAAAATAAAAAAATAAAAAATAACTTAAGACTATTAAAAACCAGAACTGGATTAAATCTCAAGAACTTCAACTTCTGGCCCAAATGGACTCACAGACTCTGTATCTCTGTTCTTTTAACACAGTTTTGCCTGAATCTATTTTTCTTTTTTTAATTTACAATGATGAGGACTCCATAATCTCCCTGGCAACCTCACCAAGCACTTATTGCTACGATTTTTTTCAAAACTCCAAATGTTTCAAAAGTAGAAGCTGGAAAACTTTATCTTGGATTATTGGTCCCAAATCACACAGAAAGTTACAGAAGAGCCAGAAGACCACAGCCCTGCCCCACGAGTATAAGTCAGAGCATTTTATGGCATAGTACAAAGAGCATTTTATGGCGAAGTACCGAGAGAGGGGTCATGGCAGCGGATGGAATGAGAAAAAACATCAGAGGAAAAAAACCACCATTTTCTTTTCTGACCTTTTTCTTCTCAGGAGATGTATGGTTACTTTTGTTGTTCTCGCCTTCCACTTCCCTATCACAGGTGAGGGGATCACGCCCAGGATCCAATTTCTGCCCATTCCCAGGCTCCAGTTCCAAAGGTCTCCATCCTGAGAGATTGACTCCAGCTGCACACCACAGCTAAGGAACAGAAACAGGAATCTGAACTAAGAATTCTGCAGGGTCCAGGGTCTCTTTGAATTTAGGCATCTTTGTGGAGAACTGTCAAATGTCAAATACCTAAAACATTTAATTGGAAACACCAGTTCCTGCTGATTTCTAATAGAAGACAGTCTGATTTAAAGGAGGTAAGATAGAGGATCTCTGAGCCCCGCAAAAATCACTCCTTTTTAACAGATGTGACTAAAAGAGTTAAAGAAAATAATAAATCAGGTATGTAACTGAAAACGGGCTTCTGCAATGTCCTCGGTTTTTCCAACTCCGGGGTTCCTAAGTCACTGCAGCAAAGCAAGCCAGGACGTGGCAGATGTTTAATGGGTTCAAACTGACAGTGGGCAGATTTAGATGAGATTCTTCCCAGTGAGGGTGGTGAGGTCCTGGCACAGGTTGCCCAGAGAAGCTGTGGCTGCCCCATCCCTGGAAGTGTGAAAAACCATCTGCTGGTTTAGCTCCCACATAACCAGTGTGGAGTGGAAGCAACTCAGTGCCTGTTTTCTGAAATCAAATCCAGCTAACCTCCGATGAGTTGTTTCCAGTGAGTTTTTTAGGAGAATGCTGGGAACATGACTACAGAAACAAATACTGGATTTATCTAATACCATAGAGGAAAGATCCTGCACAGAACGTTATCCGAAGATCACACCAACCTTCCAGAAACAACAGCGTAAGAATATTCTTACAACTGAATCCTCAGGATGATTCCTAAAAATCATCTCTGAATGAAGTACTGACAAACTGGCTATTTCAAAACAAACAGTTACTTCAGGTAACTGTCTGTGGCACCTGCAGAGATGACCACCTATTCCCAACTGCCATTCTACTCAAAACATTCTAGTACCAATAGACACGGCTTCACAAAGATCTGCTCCAGCTAATACTGTCCTGTTACCAGTGAATCTGCCAACCAGAATGAGCTGAGAGTTGTGTCCTTAAAATACTTTTTCCTACATCCACTAGAAACCACCATTCAAGAAGAGGAAGCAGAAGACAGACTTTGCAATATCTAATGTCAAAAAAGTATAGACTGTTGTAGAAATTGCAGGTCTAGTGACCCAAATTCTTTGCTAATTTCATATCCCCTTTCTGGACTGCATGGTAAGCAGAGGCAACGTACCTTCATGGTTGGGTCCTTCTCTACTAGTGGGCGACAATACACAGGCACAGGGACGTTTTTCATGCGAGTGTCTTCCTGACCACCATTGGGACTCAGCTGAGGGAAGAGAAGATGAAAAAGACAGTACAAAGCTGCAAATACCAGGATATGGCAAGAGAGATGTAATCAGTATGGTAGAACTGATCAGAGGTGGTTGCTACTGAAGCTTCCTATCACATCTTGTGTGAAACAGAGTCCCTATGGGGAGGGGAGCAGCCCACCCAAGAGACCATTTCACCATCATCAGTGCCCCAACAGAGGCTACATATGGCCCTGCTGATGGAGAAAGGATGCTCCCTGCAAAGAGTCAGGACACTGGCATTGCTTTCCATCATGACGGTTGGGCTTGATGATCTTCAAGGTCTTTTCCAAACTTAATGATTCTATGATCCTACGGCCTGAACCTCATCCACTTTCAAGTCATGCTGGAAGGCTCCTCCCTTTCAGGGGGTCTCTGACCAGTTAAATGAGTCACAGGACAACAAATGAGGCTGATAATGTTTGATTTTGTGTTACTGATGGGGAGAAGTGAGTGCAAACAGCATTTGTTTTTCATACTAGACAATTGTTAAAGTTCTCAGAGTATAAATGAAATAACTAATGTTCAAGCCCAATTATAACAAAGGAAATAAAAAAGAAAGGGCTGGGGTCTGGACAGAAAAGCTTAATTACTTTTGGTTTAGGGTAGGTTCTTTCAGCACCTTCATACAGAGGAATGCTCCTCCATTGACATTAATTTGATCTCTGTCTACAACTATTATACAAACAAAACATGTACACTGTACCTCTAAATTAAATAGCTAATGACTAAGGCTAAGTTAATGACTGAGGTCATTAGATAATGACTAAGGGCACCTCCCCTCAGCCTGTCCAGAGTGTGGTCCCTACCTGCTTGTACTTGGCTGGGAGGCTCCAGCCACAGGCCTGCAACCGCCCGTCGTCATTCCGCACGTGCTCCCGGACCTGCCGGTACTGCTCCCGCTTCTGCTCCCGGCGTGCCGAGGACGTGCAGTCACTGGGGAGAGAAGCACAGCATTACCTCTCAATCAGTGGTTAAAGACAGGAGCTGAGGGTGAAGGGAAGGCGGCCAGAACAGGGGAGGGCACACAGAGCAAACCAAATCCAGATGCAGGGAATCAGAGAGAGAAAAACTTTGTGGAGGAGCAGACACAGGCAGCTGTAATCTCTCTATCACCTGAGCAATGTGGCAGGCCAAGTCACTGTCATCACCACTTAAAATGTTCCAAGAGCCTTTCAGAAACAGGGAATCACCCTTCCCTAAAACCTGCAAATCTAAGAGATCACACCAATTTTTGCTGAGCTGTTACAATTTACTGATTAATGTTTCCACCAGGAAGGCATTTTGAGTTCTTCCCCTCCTCATTTATAGCCAACTATGGATTTTTCTGTCCATTTTTAGGCTTTCTGTGCTGACAAGGAAAATGTGCACTTACTGCTGGTTCCAACAGAACAACTCTAGCTTTGCACTAGCAAAGGTTAAACCAAAAATTGATCTGTGAGCTTTTAGACATGTTTTAATATAAACAAAGGCTGTTTGAGTGTCAGCTCCAGCTCTCAACAGGTTTTTAAATTATCATTATGAGATACAATCAACATCAGCAGAACAATCAAATCCAAACCAAAACTCCCTACTCACACACACAAAACGACATATTTACTGAAAACAAAACGAACATCCTGCTGAAACAAAACACTTCGCTGCTCATGCTTCCTCCCACAGGGTGAGAAGGAAAGCACAAGCAGCTCTGACAGTGTGCAGTCCCACTGTGTAACGCACTGCTGGGAAGCACTCAGATACCACAGCATGACTCTGAGATGTCATCAGAGAAAAAGACAGAATAAAGGCAGTGGGTATCTACAAGGGACAAATTTATCCTTTTAAAACAATCGCTCTTCTCCTGAGCCAGTGTCTTCTCAACAAATCCTTCTTATTGCAGAAGTTATCCTACTTTACCACCACATTCGGCAAAGTTCTTCCAAAAAAACACTCCGCATGTCAAAGTTCTTCCAAAAAAACACTCCACATGTCAAACCGCACAACCTCGCAAATGGCAGAACATATCGTGAAGTCAGTAAAGCACAGAAGATGTTTCTCTCTTCATGTCAGAGACACAAAGAATTGTGGTAAGACTCTGCAGTAGCAATACCTAGAGGTTCATTTTTAGCATGGTTAAGATTAAAACCTAATATCGTAACTTAAATGTGCTGTGGAGAGAACTTTTGTCTTCACTTAAACTCCTTGTCAAAAGTGTCGGGCAGACATTCCATCCCTTTGTCCCAGTGCTGCTATCACACTCCACCACAAAAAGCCTACTTCATTCCATCCCAGTCGGCAAATATGAGTGCGGAACTGAGTTGGCTGAGGCCAACTTGAGCTGCAGTGGTCCCTACTGAAATGATCCATCACGGTCTGGAAATCCATGGCCACAATATGTTTGGGAGGACAAGGTTTGCTGAGCCCATCCACATAGTAACTGATGAGTGAAAGCTCCAGGAGATAAACCCCAGGGGACAGAGACATACTAACATCACACAGCTTCTAAAGTGGAAACCAGCTTATTTTAGGAAGAGCTGCAGGGGGACCTGGCTTGGCACACAGCCCGTGACTCACTCGTCAGGGAAGAACTCGAGGGTGCGGCTGCCGGAGGAGATCTGGCACATGGTGTGGCTGCGCCGCTGGCTGAACCCCGCTGTGGTGGGAGACTTGTAGTGGATATTCACAGAGGGGTAGGTCCTCTTTGCTGGGGGGGGACTGGAGGAAGAGCTGAACAGACGGCTGAAGCTGGGGACAGAAAAAGGCCAACAAGTAAGAGAAAAGGTGCCTGGGGAGACAGACACCACAGATACACAAAAGGGGAAGCAAGAGGTGCAGGATCAGGGGCTGTAAGCCTACCACAAAAACTGCCCTACTTCAAACCCAGAGCTACGTCCTTGGTTTGATTGGCATAAGGCATTTTTAGCTTCCAGAAACAGACATCTTCTGAAAACAGCCCTTTATTACAACTTACTGTGAGTGTATGAATGTTTTCATTCCAGGATATTCATGAACTTTTTCAGTTTGTAAAACAAAAGCAATGCGGATGTTCAGATCTCATTTTAATCTCACTAAGGACAAAGGAAGCCCTTGAAGGCAAAAGGATTCCCCCAACAACACTTTCATCTGACATTTCATTAATGTCAAGGTCCAGTAAGTTGCTGTCTAAAGTAGAAATGGCAATACTCCCCCTTTTCTTCATCTTGTACAAACCACCAAAGAACTTACAACTGCCAAATGGTGGATTTCTTCTTCTCCTGGACGGACGGGTGCTCACGGGAAGCTCTAAGGACAAACACAGTCAAAGCAAGTTAATTTCAGCATCTTTACACAAGCTTCTGCCAAGCAGCAGGTCATTTCCATCAACGAAGCCATGTCAAAAATCAGACCAGAGAAAGGGACGTGCGCTGGCCTTCAATGCAAGCACACCCAACACTTTAAGTTTCAATGTTGACATGAAGTGCAAGTGTGTTCAATGTGAAGCTTTATCAATTCCCTGTAACACTGTCACTGCCACACACAGTCTGGGAACTACAGACCCCAGCATTACAGTCACTTCAAGCCAAGCCTTTAGAATTCGCCAGTTAGAAGCAATACTCCTCCCTAGAGCTTCTCCCGTCTTAATTAGCACATAAGAAACAAGCAAGACAAACAACTGCCCAGTGTCTCCAAATAATGGTCTCCAAAACATGAGATTTGCAGCCCAGGTTCAGGAACAAGAGAGAAAGAATTGGGTACTAGAAGAGAAACATCTACAGTTTGGAAAACTTCCAGCACTTCTCAACCCCTATGTTGATAGGGGTTACATTGACACAAGGTCAAACATGGCCAAGTTCTGTCCTACACAGGGACACTCTCCAACACCCAGCCTCACCTGATCATCTCTGTCCACCTGACGGCCTCCTGGAGCTCCATCAGCCTCTCCTTGTACTGGTTGCGCTCCATCAGCACTCGGGCCATCTCCACGCGGGTGAAGCGCCGGCGCTGGGCAATGGGAATGCTGTCCTGTAGAGGGGAGGAGCACTGCTTCAGCCAACAAAAGATGCAATAGGATTGAGGTTAGTACAGGGCAAGTCAGGAGACAGACACATATTTGTTAGTTCTCCTCCTGTCCTGCCTAATTACCACCCAATTTCCCCATATAAGGTGCTAGTTCCGGACAGTGAGCTCCAAACTACGGCCCACGGACCTCTGGGTGTTCTGCAAAACCATGGAAATTAGAATGAGCATCACCACCAGCTTGAGCACATGGCCCCCCCCCACACACACACACATACACACACACACGTCCCGCTCCAGGACTATTGCCAGCACGGTGCTTTCAGAGTCTACAAGGAGTGATGAGAATTGACAGTGGTCCGTTGGTTCAGAAGTTTGGAAACCAAAGTTTTAATCCATTAGCAAAGCCAGTCACAAGCAGCAGGGAGCACCACATAATGCCATCTGTCCCCTCAGGAGGACTGGAAGAGGAGGTATTCTGTTAGTACAGATGGATAAAGGTAGGACACAGGAAACTAAGGAAAGGCCTTTTCATCTTTGGTGACACAACCTGACCTTCCAATGAGTGCACAGGTGGCTTTGGGTTGGCAAAAACAGGAATGAGATTCTGTCTGTCTCTTTTGAGGAGTGGAAAATAAGAACAACGTGGCTAAATTGGGAAAAATATCTGCCCAGAAAAAGACTGCAAGGATTTTGGGAACTCATTACTAGGGAGTGGCACTGGGTTGTGCTAGACTGTGGTAATTCCCAAGCTCAGCCTGGCTGGTGAGTGCTGCAGAGAGCTAGAACAGCTCTCATTACCAATTCATTATTAACTAATTAAATTAACCAATTCCATCTCCGCCCTCCTTGAACTTTGAATCAAACCTCTATGACCGGTCAAAACAAGAACTGCATAAATGAAAAGGAATTTATCAATTATTTTTAAAATTTAAATGAAAAAACAGACCTTCTGTCAATTCAGCTGAAAATACAACCAGCTCTCTTCAGCAGCTCACCAGCACAACTTGAAAATGTTCCCATCTGCCTAAATTCTCAACAGACCAAGCTCACCTCAATTAAGTCAAGAGATTTAGGCTTAGAACTGAACCTCCTCTGATATGTTGTACAAGTAAGAACACAGTAACACTGACAAGCAGTGTCCCAGCAGGGACACGCACAAGGAAAATCTCTGTTACTGCTTGGTTTGCCTTTTTTTTGGGCCACAGTTGGTCTTTGCTGAAAAGCCTCTATCCCAGTCAAAACGGTTTGAAGAGCTGTGCTAGAAGAACAGCCCATGAATTTTCTCTCTCTGTATTCTGTATCAGGCAGTACTTGCTTTTGGAAAAGAATTAACAAGCAAAACGGTGCCCCAGCACTAAGAGAAGGTGGCAGTCACTGCTGCAAGGCTGGCTGTGTAACCTGGACTTCACTGCACCACGTCCTCACGGCTACAGCTTCACTGCCAGCATGGGGACAGGCTCTTCTGGAGAAGCCTGACAGTTGTAACACCTGAGCGGAACCCCACTGCACACCAGAGTTTAATTCCAAGTTAGGAGAAGCAGATACAATGGGACGGTGCTGAGCAGGGCACCGCTCTGGCATCAGGCTGCAGAGGCCACATCCTGCACAGTGCTACTGCCACTGGGTCGGCTGCTCTGCTGCGCCACGTTCTGCTTTGGAACTTGTATGAAGATGTATTTCATGGTCATCAGCCACAACTTGTTCACCAGCCTTGCCCTCATCACTAACAAAAGCACATCAATCTGCATCTCAGGACACACATATGAAGCAACATAGGTAAGTATATCAACCCCCTTTCCCCGCAGGCATTTTAGTAATGTCATATACCAATTCTGTACAGAGATAGCTGCTTACATCCTCCACCTCCTCTCTGGGCTCTCGTCGGGCAACGATGGCTTCGGATTTCACTCTAGGAAACAGGAAGAAAGGGATCAAACCAGCAAGTGACACCACAGCTGGCCCAGAGGAAGTTTAGGAAGAGAACCAGCTATGGGAAGGTCTGGCTATATCCATCACAAGGGAGAGATCTCAAACCACATGTACCAGATGTACAAATTATGAGATGCTTCTCTGGTATTTTCCCTCCCTCTTGCAGTGTGAGTCTCCGAACAGCTTCACCAACATCACCCTGCTTCTTTCAAACATTTGCTGTGAGCACCAAAATACTGGAACGGTCCAGCCATTTACTATTTCTGAACCATAATTCATGTTCAAATGTTTGATGAGAACATGGGAAAATGCTGGCTTAAGTGCTTCTTCTGGGCTGCTTCTGGTTTCAATGTGATTCTGTGTGATTCAATGCAGTGAAAAAAGCCCTTAATGTGAAGGACAGTTTGCCAAAATGGTAAAGAAGAGAACACCAAATCCCTGATTAAAAAATACTTAAAGTATTAGAGTGCTTTTAATTTCTTTAAACTCTCACATTATGAGACTCAAAAGGCATTTAAAAAATCTGCCTGCTTGCAAGACTACTTTCATTTCAGACATTCTGAACAATAAAGAGACCAGTCTGTGTTATTCTTGGTGATTCTGAGCTCAGACTACAGAACCTTCCAGATTTCAGCTGCAGAACAAATCCTGCCCTCTGCCCTGAGCTCCTGCAGAGTCATGCACAGACAGCCACAACGGAACCGTGCTGTTCTGAGCCCCGGGAGGCAGCCTTAGTATAGGGATGTGAAACCATCCCAGGCTTTGCTGGGCATTCAGGCTTTGGTTTCTCTTGTGTGAGAGGAAAATAAGAAGTGGGATCTTCCTGTATTGAACTTTAGAATCTCTTCTGCCTCTTCTCATTCTTAACAGAAGCAATGAAACAATTATCAACACGGGCATTTAAATATTGCTTGTGCAACTCTGCATGAGCTCTTTCAGTAAATGAATGGGCATTCACTTCTCTCAGAACTATCCTGGATGCTACAAGGATCAAGCTCTTGGCAGTTTCCTTCAAAACCATTGGTTTTGAAATTCCCTTTTTTTTTTTTTTTTTTTTTTTTTTTTTTTTTTTTTTTTGGTTTTTAATTGCAAATTGAAACCCTTAAAGCTCTGCTCCAGGAAGCCTGGATTTGAAGTTGCTGCTGCAGAATCCTAATTCTGGGGAGGAAAATTCCGGTTTTCTAAGGTTCAATAATCCATTTCAATCCAATAAAAACAATGCAATGCTAAAAATATCTCAGCCACCTACCATCAGCCTCGTCCTACTCTGTAAGGTACCTTGGAATGCCAATGCTAACCCCATGAGTGAAACGGAGTCAAATGAACAGAGGAGGTGGGTTTAGCACTCCTCACTCTCAGCTGCCTGGGGCAGGGGGGTAATCACTCACCTCTTCAGCTCCTCCTCCAGCTCCTTGACTCTGGTTTCTATTTTGGCTTTGGCCTGCTTTGTTGCTTCCAGCTCCCCCTTCAGCACTTCCTGCTCCCCAGACAGCTGGTCCACCTTGGCAATCAAATCATTCTTCACAACGTTCAAAGCATTTCTTAAAGGTGTGAAAGGCACAATAAGCAAAAATGCTCCAAACCAGAAGCTGTCCATAAAACAGACCTTAAACTGAAGTCACAGACACTACAAGGACAGTTGAAATGAGTGCGTTTAACAATTCAGTCCAGCTCTAACTCATGGGAGATTAAATTTTGTGAAGACAGAAATCACCATAATTGGTCAAGATGAGGTTTGTCCATTCCTGTATCCTGACTCTCCTTCAGAAGATGGCAAAACACTGCAGAAGGCAGATGTAGGGTAACCTACTACCTGTGTAAAGTTCAAATCTATTTTTGACAGAATGAAGGTCTGAAACACACCTTTCAAAACTGCTGTCATCTGCAATTGTGGATAATTGTGGTCGATGGCAATAGATATATGCATTTCCAATCAGCTCCAAAATATCTTAAAATTATAAAATCAGCAACTTCCTATCACAGTTCCAGCTCTCCCCTGGGAATAAATACTCAGTCTTCTCCTTCCTGGCTGTTCAGCCTCAGTAGCTCGTTTGCCAGCCTTTCTCAAAAACTAACTCCATTACGTTGTCTGCTTCTCCTCTATCGACCATGAAATCTTTGAGAACTCTTCTCTCACAAAATTTTCTTTTCAAAGAACAAACCTTGCAAATAAAAACTTATGAACAGAAACATCCTCACAGAGGCTCAGACCCACAACTGGATTCCCACAGAAGTTAATTTAAAGCTTGCCATTGATCTCAGATGGCATCAGCCCCTACCAGTACATGCCCAGAGGCTTCTCCCAAGTGCCTGCAGAAAGGAAACAGTTAGGAAATAGCTCAGGAGAGCAATTCCTCTTCTACAACTGAAGGAACAAGTATTCAGGAGAACCCATCAGAGAAACAAGCGAGCCCCTGTGAGGCAGGAGTCCTGGCCAAGACCTACTTCAAGGTGACATCTTATTTATAACCAGGCAGGCAGATCAGAGAATGTGACAGTTCCTTACTTGGTCTCCAGCAGCTGCGAGTTCTCCAACAGCAGATTCCCCACTTCTTTGCCCATTCCTGAAAAGAAAGGCCAGGCAGTTTTCATCTGCTCTCTTAGAAACATGAAGCTTTTGTAGCACTGCCTGACTCATGCTTGAGGAAGAGAAATCACCTTTGTTAGGCTTCCCTAGGCTCCCGTGTCCTGTGTGGAGAGTGGAGTGTCTCTCACTGAATGACCAAACAACACCAGCAAAGACACCCATGTGTCCTGTAAAGAGCCCAAATTCAGACCTAGCTTCTCATCCCGACCTTCACAGACCTCCTTGAGAGGGACAGAGGGGAGAGCTTCCCTAACACCAATCAGGGCAGTCAAGGTGGTAACTTCCTGGTTCAGCCATCAGCTATTGCAAACGTTTTTTATCATTCCTCAGAGAAAGAAGGTAGAGTTTATGGGTTTTTCACAAAGGACAGCAGAACACTGCCCAAGTTGCTGTCCTGATCTGCACACCAGTGATTTTTTTCCTTTCCTAGTATTAGCCAAATTTTCTGTTTCTCAGTACAGATTTGGGATCGTGACTGCGACCAGTTTCATGCACATGAAAGGCTTCCCATTACCAGCCTTCTGCTAGAGCAATTTTAATAGGACTGCAGCTTGTCCCTTGCTCTATCTACCTTGAACAGCTTTCTCACAGATGTTTAAAATGTGAAGTCTCAGTCCCATCACTTCAGATCCACACTCAACACCTACACCAGACACTCTGCACTTGCCCTTGGGCACCCACGTACAGCTGCAATCTGCAGACTGGGTTACAAGAACGTTGACAAATCTGGGGCTAAGAGTGAAGGCCAAATTCTGTAGTTCATAAAACCAAAGGAATTTAGGGACCAAAAGCATATCTGGGTTGTTTCCTGCTGCCAGGGACTTGCTGAGTCCCAGGGTCAGCTTTGGCCTTACAGAGGGGGATAGAGGCCACCTGAGAGCTGAAGGCAAAGAGGCCTCTCCCTGTTGGGGGACAGTGCTGAGCGGTGCAGCTCGTATCTCACCACGGGTCCCAGAGCATGAGGAAGTCTCCCCCACCATCAGTGTTTGTGCTGCAGTGCTCCTCGTCCTGCCCTCTGAACTACCTCTTCCGTCATAGCAAAGACATCAACAGTTTTCATGATACTTCATTTGCCAATTAATTAGTACTTGTGAGAAAATTTAAAAAAACACAAATTTTAAGTAAATGAAAGTTAGAGGAACATGGCAGCACATGAGAAGTGAGAACACGTCACAACACTCCAACATACAGATCCTCTTCCCACAGTTAAATGGGATGAATTTATGATGGCAAAAGCAAATTCCCAGCAAGAATGAGTAAGAAGTAGCATTTTCAAAGAACTTTTGAAAAATTAGTAGACAGATAATTAATCACTTTGATGTTTCAGGCAATGTGTTCTTTGGATGCTGTGTCAAAGAATATTCCAACAGCACAAAAGCAGGAAACACTAACTGCAGTGCAAACTGCAGAGTATTTTGAGTTGGTACGGTGAAGGATCTATAGCCCATTTTTTTGTGGCATGCTGCTTGTTGGTCAGAAGACTCAGAAGTCATCTGTTTATTACACTGTTTTCTTGCTAATTTTAAGTGACTCTACAAATAATCAAAAAAATATTTAGCCTGTAAGGCATTAAATTGGCACAAGGACATTACAGGTGCTGAGGGACATCAAGGGAAATAGATCATCCCCATCTTTTTGGATTAAATCATCTTCCTTCCCATTCTTGAGTCATACATCCCTCTCTGCAGCTGTTTTTGGGAAAGAAAGGAATTCTGGGAAAGAGGATGAGCTATCATGCCAGAACACAGCGTTCCATCAGTATCCTCATCGTAGCTTCTACCTTACTCGGGTGTGACACAGTGACAACCCAATGCTTTAACCAGCCAGAGGTCTGAAAGGCTGGTCTGGCAATAAAGAACCGGATGAAGCCTCCCAGAGCCGTGGAATGGGCACTGTGAGATAACCTTCCTTGCGCAGGCTGTAGTGGGCCAGCCCTGCTCATGGGAAGAAAACCCAGTGTGGAGTGACTATAAGGACTCTTCACCCCTTTGTGGTGTGGAGCAAAGGGAAGAGAGATCTGGGCAGAGCCCTGTCTAACAGAGCTCATCCTACACCATCCTCCTCCCACAGCCAGGCAAACAGTGTGAAGCATCAAAGCGGATAATCAACTACATGACACAGAGGAGAATCCCCAAACCACCTCTACAGAGCAGCTGCATCCCGCTTCTTGGAGAGGTGATGCCACCACCACAAAAAAACAAACCAAGGTAATGCAAGACACATGGAGGGATGGTGAGTGAATGGAAGGAATTTGGAAAAAAAATGCATGTTAAAAAAAAAAGAAAAGGACAAAAATAAAAAAGAAAAAAGGCCTTCGCCTTACCAAAGAAATCATCCCGTACTATGAGAGCCATCCCATACGAGAAAGGGAACAGAAAGAGATGGGGACAAAGGGGAAGAAAGGAAGAGAAAAAAAAGCAGCCATTAAGTACCAGTTTGTAAACAGCAAACAGAGCAGCTCATCAGCACGTGTACAATGTGTGGTGCCAGCACACGTGAGAAAGTAATCTTGTTCTACTGCAGCCTGACCTAACAGGGACTTCCACCTGAGAGCATCACAGAATGGTCTGGGCTGGAAGGGACCTTAAAGACCACCTCATCGCAACCCTCTGCCTTGGGCAGGGACACCTTTCACTAGCCCAGGTTGCTCCAAGCCCTGTCCAACCTGGCCTTGAACAATTCCAGGGATAGGGCAGCCACAGCTTCTCTGGGCAACCTGTGCCAGGGCCTCACCACCCTCATTGTAAAAAAATTCTTCCTTATATCTAATCTAAATCTCCCCACTTCTGGTTTAAAACCATCACCCCATGTCGTATTGCAACAGATGTCAGGACGAGCTTGAGATGACCTCATCTGCTTATTCCATCTTCATCATTTCCCCTGTATGACACATCCTTGAGTTTCCCATCACCACAACAAAGGCAGGTCAACAGACATTATGAACAGGGTGAGGGAAGGACAGTGGCAGGGAGGAAAAATAAAAGAGGGTGAGTATCAAAGCTTTAATCTGGCCTAAAAAGGCCCAAATCCACCTCCACACTGCAACAAACTCCAACTCCACTTCAGTGGGAGGTTTTCTGAGGAATGTTCACAAAAAAAGTGGCTTACGGTAAAAGCAGTTTGAATGAAAAGAAAGGATGATGCTGTCCCTTTCTTTGCACCATCACAGAGCCCTCACAGAGCAGTGCTGGGCACAGGGATGGGGCAGAGCTCATTGCACACGTCATCACACCACTGCAGCTGCCAGGTCACCACAGGGAAAACTTCACACAGTTTACACTGAAATCAAGAGAGCTCCCCTTGACATCAACTGAAATCACATAAAGGCCCAAGTGTGTTTTACAGGACAGTGCAGAGGATGGCCCTAGGGCAGCAAGCACCTTCTCCAAACAAAGGACAGAGCTATCAGTGACAGATGAGCCATCACCCAACTCCTGCCAGAAAGACAGAAGCTTTGCCACTCTAACCCACTACCACTATACCCTAAGAGGGCTGGTATTCGTCAGGTAACCCCTACAGCGATTGGCATACGGAGGGACTCCTCACAGCACAGTGAGGAGGAGAGGACAATGGGACCTTCACTCAGCCTGT